GAATGTGTCTTTTTATTTAAAATGCTTCTCTGGGTTATTTGTGGTGCCTACCTGGTGTTTTTACATGAGTAAAATGTGTGCTTTTATTTAAAATGCATCTCTGGGTTATTTGTGGGGCATAGGAATCCGTTCATTTCCCCTCCCAAAATATAGTCTGAGGGACGGTGGACTGGCCCCCTGCTGAAAAAGTTTGCTGACCCCTGATCTAGTCCAAACCCCCTGCAATACAGGAATATGTAGCTGTCCCATTCGGGGATCGAACCTGCAACCTTGGTGTTATCAGCGCGACGCTCTAGCCAACTGCGCAACTCTAGCCAATCAACTATGCAGTGATTTTAGGAATATATAGTCCCCCTATCCAAAGCTCTGGACAGCCACCAACAATCAATGTAGAAAGTACTGTGCTAAATGGACTCAGGGCCTTTACTCATAAAGTAAGGCTGTTTGCTAAGTCTTCTGTGCTCAGATTTGCTTCAGGCTTCATCATGACTAGAGTGGTTAAATACGTAGATGAATGGAGGAATTTGTGTCACCATAGTGAAGCATAAATGAAGAAGGGGCAAAGCTCAGGGGGAGAGCGTCTGTTTTGCATGAATAAGATTTCAACCCCCAACACCTCTACACAGGGATGCCATAACCTTGGAGAACTGTTGCCAGTCCATGGCGATAAGGCTGAGCTAGATGGACCAATGGATAAAATGCAGCTTCCTAACTTCTAAGGCTTTTTATTAGGTTGCCCTAATGGATGAGAGCACTATTTGCCCAGGGCGAGGGAGTTCACCCATTACCAGCTTCCACCATTTGGTGGATGCATTTCCTTTTGTTCTATAAACTCGTACATTTTCCTGGTGTTGGAATTCATGCAGGGAGAGAGAAAGAGAGAGAGAGCACTCTGTGAAAGGCATCATTTTTCAGATGTCTCAATTGCCAAGGAAGCCCACAAATGATGGGTATGAACTGCAAAAGGGTAATATAGCATGAAGATTAAAGGTGAATGTGTTTGTTTTCAGCTCTGATAGCAACTACCAATTCAGATAATGTGTATTTCATTTAAATTTATTGTGAGGAATAAAAAGAGAGCATGGGCGCTGCGCTAGATAATGGGATTCTTCATGCTTTAAAGCAGTTTGGGCATTTCACTTACCTAAGAGCACAGTGGGGAAGGACACAAAATTAAAACAAATTGACGCAATGGTTTTTTAAATGACTCTCAGTAAATAATTTAGCCTCCCGTTCCCAGGATATCCTTTCAGTCCTAATATTTCAGATTTGAATAGGGAGGTGGGCTGGGGAACATTTTGATACACAGTGGAGTCATACGCTTTAAGTTGGTTTTTGCAGCAAGGGACACATTCAATTAGCTTCTCAGTATAATGAACTTCAAATCAAAAAGTCATGTGGAAGGTATTATGCAACAGTAGAGGGATCACTGCTTAGGGGCAGATCACATGTCTCAAGCTTGATCCCTGGTAGGCTCAGTTAAAAGGATTAGGTAGCAGGTCATGGGACGGATCTCTACCTGAAACCCTGGAGAGCCACTGCAGTCACATTACTGTGCTAGACAGAGGAAGAGCCTGAACTGGTACCAGTGCTTTGAATGAACTATAAGTACATCAACTAAATTTGGATCTGCAGCTATTTTGGGGCTACAATTCCCATCACACCTTGCTAGCAAGGCCAGTGGTCAGGGATGATGGAAATTATAGTCTGAAAACAGAGGGAGACCCAAGTCTGGGAAACACTGAACTGAAGGTAAGCTAAGTGAATTCTGGGGTAGAACTTTGAATGATTTCTAGTTCATCTTCACATTCATTTCCGTTTTGCCTCCTGCAACAGTAATCAGCCTGAAGTCAGTCTCTCTCTCTCTCTCTCTCTCTCTCTCTCTCTCTCTCTCTCACACACACACACAATGTATATGTATATATGTATGTAAGTCAATTGAACACCTATAAAGAAAGTTATAAAGTAAAATGTGGAAGCAACATTCTAAAGCTTATTAGGCAGGTGTGGAGGTACTGCTGTTTCTAGGGTTGCTTAGGCACTGTTGCTAAGCAGTCAGAAGGAAGGGATGTGAGGCATTCTGTGTATCTTCCCTTCTGAATATATTTCCGTCTCTTCATACAGCTTGCAGCAAGAAAGTGCAGAAACAAAGTAAATTGTGCCTTGGCTCTTTAACAGCTGTGTGAGTGGCACAAATTGAACAGGGTCAGCCTTTTCTTGTATAAAAAGGCAATTATGAGGAAAATGTGACCTGCTGACATTCTGTTACTCAGGCATCTTAATAGTTTGCGTGGCCTCTGATTTGATTTTGCACATTAATTTTCTGGTGTTCTTTGTTTAAATTTATATTTTTGAAGTTTCATTTATGTTTTAAATTTTGCATTTTGAATATATTTTGAAACCTAGATGTTGAAACGATATGAACATGAATTTTAAATAAATAAATGGTAACTCCAACCCAGACAGCATTGGAGCCAAATTCAGGGGGCCGTGGCTGCTTGGGCACCCACAAAGTCAATGAGAAAAGCCAGTAGGTGGCAGTGGTGCTACCTCCGAAAGAGTAGCAGTTCAGCTCCACCCTCTCCAGCCAGGCAGCAAGGCACCCTTTTCTGGGGGGGGTGGGGTGGGGGCTCAGATGACATCACACACACGATGTGCAGGCATGTGCATGTGATGTCTCATGTCCATGTTGCAGCGGTGGGCACCCACAATCCTGAGGGCGAGATGGCACCCCTGCCAGACTACCTTAAGTTTCCTATTGACCTGGAAGGACTGAATGTGTTTCCATTCAAACTGAGACTTTGTCTGGACAATCATAGCCCCAGGTGTTCCTGATTGCATACCTTGAATCAACACTCACTGGCTGTTACTTTGAAACAGGGGTAGGATACCTGTTTAAGCCAGGGGGCCTCACTGCCTAGTGGGCAACCATACATGGGGCACATGGTGGATGGAGCAAGAGATCTTACCTTTAGCTTTGCACATTCCAGCCACATGAAAATCAGTGGTTTCAACATGCACATATCTCCATCCAGACAAGTGGGGGACAAGGGAACAGTTTAAGGACACAGTCAAGTAAAGCAAACACACTTAATTAGGGCACAGAGTAGAGGAGAAGGAGATGTCACCTGGGGAAGGGGCATTTCATGAGATAATTCTCAAGGGCCAGATAGATACCCTGGGCCTTAGACTCCCTACCTCTGCTTTAGAAAGATTAGTTAATGCCTGTCCTGAAAATGTATTCTTTTACACTGTTATAAGGGCAATCAATTTCTCAGGGAAGTACTGAAAAGTAATCAATAACACTATTGATATTTGTGAAATCCTTTTTTAATGCTTCTTTGGAGTCAATTGTGTTTGCAAAATTCTGCCTAAAATATTTACGGCTCTGGTCTGCATAAATATACATCGTATAATCAGATTGTTTTCTGTGGAGATACTTAATTCTTAAGGCTCTTCATGGCGAGTGTTGGATAGAGAAATCACAATGGCTACTCCTATAAGGCTGCCTCAGACGTATTGCTTATTACTTGGGGACTGCAACATAAGCTGGTGATTTGTGTATGTAACTGTTTGTTCATGAATAGAATGCGCCTATGAACCATTTCATTGATTTGTCTGAGATGGGGGCCATTCTCAAGAAACCCCCACACATGTTCAGATAATACATGGAATGAAGAGAGTTCCCCACCAACAGCCCTACATGCCGGCCACATCCATTCGGTGACCACATGGAGAAAATTAGTCTGAAAGAACTCTATGTGCCTACAGCTGAACATAGGAATGGGTGAATCTGTCAATTTTGGATTTTCTCAGTTTCTCACTTTTCTGATCTTAAATTCAGTCCTCCACATTTCCACATAAGTTTTCTATGTATTTATTTATTTTTAAAAGTTCTCGTGAAAATTCATTGGCATTTTAGTGCATGTTTCTCCTAATGTACATGCCTTTCAAAATTTATCAGATGTTCCAGTTGAGGAGAAACAGCTTTTTTGACTCAAGGTGTGCTCTAAATAATAAATAATTTTATTATTTGTACCCCACCCATCTGACTAGGTTGCTCAGCCACTCTGGGCAGTTTCTAACAGATATAAGAACATAATAAAACATTAAAAAGCTTCCCTATACAGGACTGCCTTCAGATGTCTTCTAAAAGTCAGATAGTTATTTACCTCCTTGACATCTGATAGGAGGGCATTCTATGATGTCCAGGCTGAATGATGGGGGTGGAGACGCTCCTTCAGGTATTCGGGACCGAAGCCATTTGGGGCTTTAAAGGTCAGCACCAACTCTTTGAATTGTGCTTAGAATTGTACTGGGAGCCAATGTAGATCCTTTAGGACTGGTGCTATATGGCCCCAGAGGCTACTCAGCCTGCCACATTCTGGATTAGTTGCAATTTCCAAATCACCTTCAAAGGTTCAAGAAAAATGAGGGCAACAACTCTAGTCCTAACTCTGGTTTTCCAGATGAACTTATAAAATAGCTTTTAGTTATTCAGATCACATGTTCAGAGTGGCCTGTTTGAAGGTATGAAGCAACTAATGTTAGCATCACCTTCCTGGCTCTCAACCAGTCCCTTCCAGGGCTTACCATGTTAGGTCTCTGTTTATGTATTCCTTGATGATGCCATGAAGTAAGTAAGACGTCATAGATGTAGACTTATGGCCAAGAGGCTGATCTGTGGAGCAGAGAGCTCCTGGTCTGAATCTCACCTCTTTATATCAACTCACTGAGTGGGCATAGACAAACCATCCCCTCTTGGCCTCAGTTTCCTCCATCTGCAATACGGAGGGCTAAAATATAATAAATGCTTTTTACCTTATAGAGTTCTTATAGTGACTTATTTATCATGCATGTAGGGTGCTTCGGACAAGTTTTTGAGCATTGTTGTGGTGCATGACAGTAGACAGGGTCTCTTGAAAACTCACACTGAGTTTCACTCTTTAAAATAAAATTAAAAGCAGATTGACATGGCATCTGCAAAAAATATTTATATTGGGATGGGATGAATGAAAGTAGCAGTTTATTCTTGTCTTACATACATGGCACAACATACAGATCTGGCACAAAAAAGACATACAAATCCTCCAACATCCATGCTTCCTCCCAAAGAACTTCTATTGAATGTACAACATCATTAACAAATTGGTTATTGAGTTACAACAGATCTCCAAACATGAATAACCTCCCATTCAGGGTAATATTTTGCTTCATTGTATTAGTAGTAGAAGTTGTTGTTGTTAGCTACTTAGACAAACATTATTTTACATGTTTAATACAGGACATTATCCTTAACAGATTTCAAGATATTCACATTAAGAACCAAATACTTTATAAAACAGATTTTCCCCCCATTTCTTAAAGGCATGGTCACATGTATTTCAGTCCCATCTGGGTTAACTGGACTTTGCAAGACAAACGTTTCTTAAGCGCTAAAAAAAGGGACCCTATATACAATTTGCCCAGTGTAAAAAGAACTGGTCTCCCTACTGGGATAGCTCTTATCCCACCAGTAGGAAAACTACCCCTCAGGCCACTTAAAGCAGATATTAACCACTGGGTGGCAAAATGACAGATTGTCACAACCCTAGGTTTTATTCAGAAACAAAGAAAAGAAGGCATATTAAGAGTTATTTGGCCACTAGGGCTGGTGGCTAAAGCCTATCATCAAACAAGATAACTAGGTCTATTGTGTTAGCTAGGGCTTAGAACACATATTTTCAAACTTTCTAGCTCCAATAAGTTTTTTCTGCATTACCTATTGCATGCTGCAACACTTTCTGGGAAACCCTCTAAGTCTCATACCCAGTTTGCATGAGTTGCTGCGCAGACCTCTAGATCTAACCATAGCTACACAAGAAGTTTTAATGTTTCCCCGTGCAGTGCTTTCGAGACAACATTAGCCATATCCAGAGCAGACCCACTGAAATTAATGGACCCCAGTTAGTAATGTACATCCATTCCAATGGGTCTACTCTGAGCACGACTAGTATTGGATATAACCCATTGTAAGAGAAGACCATTGATGGTAGAGAACTTTAAGGAAGGTTTCTCCTCCAATGCAAGACTTATCCCTGGGAAACTTAGATGAACCTACAAGGAACCCAGCATTCCATCTGAAAACCACTAGGCTAGCCAAGTATTATTCAAATATTATCTTAAATCAGTCCCAATGAAATGTCAAGCTCATAGACCTTTCAACATGTGGCCTTGATTGCAACATTCTGTCCAACATGAATGTAGAATACCTAGCTTTTGATTAAGAGTTGATCACATGCTCTTTCCCTCCTAAATTCTTAGTACATCTACTGTCCAAGTGAACTTTACTTGCATATTTTTACTATTCAGATCACTGGACTGATCATGGATAAACAAACATCTTTCCTCTAAAGCTCATCAAGGACTTCTGGGGTATCTCTGTTGACTTCATAGAGCTTTAGAAGTGATTCATAATTTCACTGGGACTACCTTGGAGTAAACATTCTGAGGATTTCAAGCCTGGACTGATTTTGGCCTACAAATAGCCTGAACAAAACAAAATAGATTTGAAATTTTTATACACACAAGTTGCATTACTATTATTCTTTGTACATAGAGCATTTTCATAAAAAGCATGTTGTGAAAATGCCTTAGACCTTATATAAACACCATTATATCAAACACATCATTCAAAAACCTGGATAAATTACCAACACAAAAACCCGAAAGACCCCAAATGGAATTCTTTCAGTAATATTTGTTGCATATTTCACATTCCAGTCTCATCCTGTTCTGGCCAAATTATGGCTCTGGTTAAAAAAGAAGAAGAAAAAAGCAACCACACAAACCTCTAGCAGTGTTAGCTAGAAGAAACCCAATTCCACTGTTAATCCACCATGGGTCTCATCCTTCTCCCCTTTCCTATGCTTTTAGGAATGATGGTTCTGATCCACAATTCAGTAATACTAAAGTACTTGGATTTCAGCCAGTTAAGTCCCACTAAGGTCAATGAGAGTGCTACCCTTATATCAAACATTTGCATCAAGTCACATGAAAGGCTGCCTGTCCTTGTACAGACCTATAAGATCACTTAGATCATTGGCACCTTACAGAATATCACAGGACAGTCACCTCAAAGGAGGAATTTTCTGTCACCACCCTTGCACTCTGGAAAGCCCTACTGTCTATTATCCAGCAGTTGCTTCAGATATCTTGTAAAGACATGTCTTTTTGCCTTGACTTTTCCCAACCTATAATATTGGACCCTTTGGTTATTACTGAGGGTTGTACTGAGTGTTAGTCATAGTTAGTTAGATAAACAATCCATCATTAGGCCTATCCAGTGATAGGCATGATTATCTTTGGTCCATTAATTCCAAATGTTCTACTCCTGGGTATAACTCAGACATAGGGTTAGGACTAGGATTGGCTTGAAACTCCCAAAGACCTCGGTAATTATGAACAGTGGATCAAAATACACACATCTGAAACAGATCACTAGATCTAGTTTAGAAACATGCTGCTTCAGTACACTACAGAGCTATGAGAAAGTAGCTTTGCAACATGTTCTCCTTTCCAACACTTTAACATTTGCCACAATCCTGTTCTCCAAACAAAGCATTGGGGCACAATTACAGGAAGGGAATGAACCTGTGACCCTTTCAACAAAGCAAGACTCTCATCCTTAACTTTCCACATAACCTTTGCCTCCACTGCAGCCCATTGAGAATGATTTCCGTAGAGACACATGCCTGGAAAATTCTATATCAGGCTGGATTATCTGCATTGTGCTTGCAGGAAGGATCCCATAATAAGGATATTAGATCTTTGATGACTCCTGCTTGCAGGATCAACCTAGGAACATCCAAAGCAATGAGTATGTATCACTGTGTTCTTCACATACATTTCTCAATGGGACTTTATAAAAAAACTTACACAAAGGCAAATATGATTCTGGAGAATCTCCTTCAGTAGCATCCAAACCCACCCCACCCCACTGCAGAACCATAATATCTACAGAAAGGATACTCCTGTATCTCAAGTATCTACCCAAAGAGGACAGGATAAGAAACTCTACTACTACAATTGTGCTAATCTGATAGATAAAAAAAATGGTTTCTAGTGTAAACACATGAATAAGTTTCACAGGATTTCAATAGGTGTGTGTGTGTGCCTTTGTTTCCTTTGTGAGGGGCCAACACAATTTGCAATCGACCAAGTAGAATGTAACCCGCAAACTATGTAAACCAGCCCACTAGGGGCTCAGCAAAGCTGCTTTTAATATTGGCCTGAGGATGCATTTTTTTCCTGGTGGGTCCTCAAGCAAGTAGTTAACAGGACACTTCACATACCTGGGTTTGGCTTGGCAGGTCACAAGTTGGGCTGGGCTGGTCTTAAATTACACTTCATCCTCCTAATCTGGGGAAAAAATCCTGATCCTATTATCACATGCATACCATCATGTTATGATCCTAATATTACCCACCCACCCTCCAGAGTTCTACCCAGTTGCCCAGTGGCATGAATGACAGCTAATTAAGTGAGTTCTATGGTCAAACAGCTCATTTACACATTAGTCAGCATGAGGTATAAAGCTTGCTCCAGAGCCTGATTCTGCTAAAACCCACTTTTAAATCTTTACCCACTTAGAATGGATTATTATTTTTTTGCAGGATCAGTGCTTTGTACGTATCTCCTCTCTTTTTAAATTTTCTATAGGATTTTTAATTTTCTTTTTAGAATAATCAAACAGAAAGATATAAGGGATACCGTAAGTTTCAGTTCAAACAGTAATTGTTTCAAAATACACCGGGTGAAAGATATAACACTCTACAGTATTTTCAATTGGTTATAAATTTTCAATGTTGTTGGGGGTTTTTTGGCCAAAAAATTAAAGAAATCCCACCACAGGCTATACTTGAAGCACAAATCCTAACCATACTGTAAAATTTACACTCTCCAACATCAGTGTCTAAGCCCTTTATTAAACAAAGTGAGTTATTTTGGGGATACTTACAGAGTATTTGAATGTAAGCTAATGGAACCAACCTCTCTCTTTCTCTCTTTGAAATCTAAACTATACCTCACGGGTTAATTAAAAAAGTGGACCATAGCTATGCAGTGTGGCTTGACAAAAATCTCTTGAGTTTTTGGATTGCTCAAAGTATAAATACTCAACCTTATGAAAAGTGGTTGAGTTTCCATAAAATAATGTTTGTGGCACATTATGATGCTGAAGGGATTGCCCTCCCCATACACTCCATTTCTCCAGATTTTTATTTTAAACTTTTACAAAATGCAGGTGCTTCTAGACTTAGCAACACATATTAATGAGATTATCTTCATCTGGGTGACAGCAGTAATCTAGGGTTCCTGGTACTTTAATAATAAAAAACAAGACTTCTTAATTGTGTTTACAGCATTTTGTGTCTCTATAGCTGTGTAAACTCCAGTAGAATATGAACCTCTGATGATATTACGTCACTTTCTGTATAGCTTGCAAAAGAAAAAAGAGAGAGCCTGAACTGAATGAGAAAAGTTAGTTACCTTCTGTTTTGATAATTCATTTCAGTCCTAATAACAGTAACAAAAAAAATGTCTTTTAAAAAAAGTCACAAGCCTGTGATTATACATTGCAAAGAAAGAAAACTGATCCTTGCCTATGGAATTTTTGTTTAAAAGTTCCAACCTCTTGTTTCCGCTGTTAGCCATCACACAACATGTGCCATTTGGCAATTTGTCTCCTAGGATATTCACAGATTTCCTTCCAGTGTTCTCCTGCTGTTCCTTCTGCCGAAGCCCCCAAGGTTAACCGGCCAATGATTTCATTCCGGGATCCCCTATCTGAATCCAAAACCAAGAATTCGATGCTGATCTCTTCGAGACCCTCGCAAGGAATATCAAAGACAAAAAGTTCATTGAACACTGCATTGGGGGTGCACTTCTTGACGTGGGTTTTCTTTTTGGAGATCCTTTTCTTGGCATGATATAGGTTCACTTTCACATAGGGGTCTGCAAAAGACAAGCAAAATCCAACCAATATCACACTGCTGAAGAACCAAGTCCAATAGTCCAGACTTCCTTGTCTTCCCCTGCACTAAGGTTCTCACCATGCTTTCATCTCTACCAGTTATTCCTGTGCAGGAGAATCTGGCTAGAACTGATTGGCAAGATTAGCTTTGTCCACTGGGGAAAAGCTCCAAATAATAATAATAATAATAATAATAATAATGTGCCAGCTTATGCTTGCATGCTACCTGACCACCGGTTGTTGCATTTACCAGTAAGGGACAAGGTGGTGAGAAGCTTGGCACAACTGGAGGTACAACAGCATAATCTGGCGCTCTCACTAATGCACCCCATTGCAATCACCATTAAGCCACATTTTCCTTGTTCTTCTGTCCCCCAGTAGACACAACAATGTGCTGGTCTTCGCTCCAGGGACCATATGCCCTCCCCTCAGATGCCCTCCAGATGCGCTGGTCTCTTCTCTAGTTGCCCCATCTTATATGGGTCTTTCAGCATGTCACATTTTCTTCATGATCCCTTTCACTTTCTTTCACTTTCATTGCAGGAGGTTGGACTCAGGTGACCATCAGGGTACCTTCCAAATCATAGAATCAATTCTATGAATCTCGGTTATTTGAGGGATGGGCAGAACCACCCAGCTCCACTCCAGTTACCTCTGCCCCCACACCTGTAAAGCAGACTTATGACAAACATTTTGGGAGATAGCTTATATTTGTTAAAATATAACTAATTCACGGAACATCCAAATAACCAAAAATTCAGAAAATATGAGCAGGTGAGAATTCCATCTAACTGGTAGGGAAACCTCCCTCTAGACCACTGAATAGATGACACAGCTGCAGTCTGTGGCTCCTCATAAAGGAGGGGTGGGAAAGGACTCCCTCATTGCTAGATGAGTCATGGGTAGAAGCACACCCAGGCTCTACTGCCCAGAGTTCACCCAAAATGTGAAAGACAGATCTAAAGGGTACCCCATTAAATCCCCCCAGGCATAAAGCACTGGCAGATCCCTAAAGGGTGCCATTGACCCAATAATCCCATCGTATGTCTACAATTATTCTTCCCAACTTCCTTACCTGCCTGGACTCCATGCTCAATGAGAAACAAATACCAGCTGCTCTCCAAATTGTCAATCAAGTTACCCAACAGTGTGGAACAGGCTTCTTCAACCTTGGCCCTCCAGATGTTTTTGGCCTACAACTCCCATGATCCCTAGCTAGCAGGACCAGTGGCCAGGGATGATGGGAATTGTAGTCGCAAAACATCTGGAGGGCCGAGGTTGAAGAAGCCTGGTGTGGAGCAAACCAAAAACGAAGTCCCTAAAGGTTAGTTAAAGAACTGCCACCCAAAATATTCCTACTCAGTTCCTTGAACAGGTGACTAGCCAGGGCCCACACTGAATAGAGCGAAGGAGGGAGGGCACAGCTCCTACTCCTTTGCTACTTCTTGGTCCAAGCTCTTAAGTCTATGACAGTGTTGATTATAAATCCAAATGTATGCATGTAATAATGCAGCATTTTAACATTACCTGATAATCCGGAAACATCAGCTTTGGGTAGGTGTCTGGCCTTTAAAACAACCACCGTGAGAGTATTTGTTGTAGACTGGTAACAGAGAGAAATCAGCAGCTCGCCGCGTCCGGAGGACTTCTAGAGAATTAGAAAGATAGCTCATATGTAGCAGACATCAAAGAATCGTAAAATTGTTGAGTTGGGAGGGATCCTAAGGGTCATGTAAACCAACCCCCTGCAATTCAGGAATCACAGCTAAAGAATCCCTGACAGATGTCTATCTGGCCTTTTCTTAAAAACCTGCGATAAAGGAGAGTCTACCACTTTCTGGGGTAGTCTGTTCCACTGTCAAACAGCTCTTACCATCAGAAAGTTCTTCCTAATGCTTAGTTGGAATCACTTTTCTTGTAATTTGAATCCACTGGTGTTGGTTTTACCCTCTGCAGCAGCAGAAAACAAGCTTTCTCCATCTTCCATGTGACAGCCCTTCAAATATTTGAAGATGGCTATCTGTCTGGGATTACCCTAGCCTCACCCTATCCCACCCCACCCAAAAAATGATGTATATGCAGATCTGCTACTAGATGGGCAACTCACAACTATGACTATATATATTTGTGGTTTTAAAGCATATTGAATCCTTGGCCAGCCAGTCTATTGAAATGTTGTCACAAATAGCATCTGACAAATTAGTGTTTTGATGGACTTATGAGAACGTAAGGTACAAATCAGATCTCTCCCCTCCCCCTGCTACAAAACCAATATAGTCCCCTTGATAGAGGAAAATATTTAAGTATGAAAATAGAAAACATGGAAGCTTCAACACTCCAGGTCACACACAGGGGCTTGTTGCATTAAAAACCATAAAAGCTGCAGATGGGAATATTGCTTGGTACACACAGAAGCAATTTGATTTGACGCTTGATCTTTTGAAAGCAATTACTAAAAAGTCAATACACAGGCAGGTTCTCGGGAAGGGCTATGGGTTGCCCAGGCTTTGAGACATCTATTAGGTTTGGAATTTTTTTAAAAAATAAATGGGCTTCCACTTATGTTGAAGTGACTTCCAAATCAATTTACAAACACACAGTAAAGACTTTGACTTGGAAGCAAGCCCCCTTGATTTTTATGTGGCTTACATCAAAGTAAAATGCTCAGGATTGGTGCCAGAACAACTGATATTCAAAACACCAATGCCTTTATTCTAAAACATGCTTACCCTGATTGGCCAGGTGAGATGTAATGAACTACTGGTAACTTCAACTAAATTGTTCGAGGACTCAGATTTTGGTTGTGCAAGTACTATGAGTTAATTCAGTAGCTGACAACCAGAGTGTCCAGAGAGCTGGAGATGCCCAATGGACTAATTACACATAGGTGGGTGTGACCAGATGGTGGAAAGAAGCAGTGGTGGGTGGAACCAGGAACAAAGGCAAAATCAGTAGAGAAGTGGAAGGAGAAGGAGGAAACTTAGATGTGCAATGGATATGGATAAATCCTGAGCCAAAGTGAGTTGCTTTTGAGGAATTCTGAACTTGTCTGATATCTATCTGAGGGACCCCGAACCAAGAGAAGACAATACAAAGCTCCTCGTGGTATCTTTATGACTCAGAATCACACACACACAAAAAAGAACTGCAGAAAACTTGTCTGCTAAAAGCAAAACTAATGTCTCTAAGTTTACCATATAAGGAAAGTGAGAGGCTGGGAGTGAGAGTGAGGAATCACAAAGGCAAATGTGAAGGTAGAGTGGAGGGAGAGCTTTACTGTCATTGACAGATAATCAGAGATAAATATTTTACCTGGAAAGTGAATCCCAATTATTTTTAAAGAAGCCTAGCACAAATTCCCTTTGACCTACTTGTCTGAAATTTGGCAGATTTCTTACCAATGGAACATCTCTCATATCTGCTATTTTCAGACCAATTGCCCAGAAAACATCACAGGAGATTAAGTGATATTGTTATCCCCCCCAAAAATTGTAAAGGCTGGAACATAACTCTGCAGATATCCTTTTGCATATCCTATGCCTGCAAAATCCATCATTTTCTGCCAAATGAAAAATGGAAAACTTTATACCTTTTCTTAAAAAACAAAACAAAAACAAACTTTAAAGTTGCACAGCAGCAGAAAATGAAATAAAAGCCTAGACCTATCTGCCTGTTATTTGGAAGGCTTTATCCACTCTGGAGAGGCTATTATGCCTAAAATTTCATTCGCTTCTGTCAACAGGGAAAATACATATAGCTTGTCTTCCCAAAATTCCCAATAGTAATTTCCAGGAGGCAATGGTGATTAAACCCAATTTTCCTAAAGCAGACTCAAACTTTGATGCTGTGCTGAATTGGGCAGCCTACAAAATACTTCGTGGCCTATTTTCTGAAGTGCAGGATTAGGGACCAAAATGAATCTTGTGGTTGGTGCATACCCCTGGGAAAAGAAATCCATCTGTAAACTATCAACTCAACCCCCTGGCAAGAGTGATCTGTCACTCCCATAATAATCTACTAGGTGGAGTGGGAGGGGGGAAAGGAAGTGACACAAAGAGGGAGAACAGGGTTAACTGCATATGGATCATAGCCATGGAGATGCAGGCTAATACTCATAGCCATAGAAATCAATGGAGATTTTTTATTTCTATTTTGCCATTGACTTTATTGCAATGTTGATTGCACTGTTACAGCCCACCACTTGATTAAGCTCTTGGATTAAACTGTTTTTCCTTCACTGATGAAGTCAATGTAACCGTATTGGTCTTTGTTCAAGGACTTCAGATTCAAATGGAGCAACTTCTGCCTAGATATAGAGTTTGCATTTGGTTGGAACTCATGAACCTATTGATCCAACAAACTTTAGGTTATATGTTGTTTTGGGTCAGATTTGCATATCCATGTTGCCACTATAGCCAGCATGTGTTAATGTGCCATCATGAGTTAATCATTGTCAATAGCACTTTTATATCACCCAATAGGAGCTCAAACCCACTCCTTTTCCACTGAGGAGATTTATTTATTTTCCTGAGAGACAAGTGTTGAGTAAGTGTTAAAAGTAACATTGCCTGAACCAGACCCAAGTTGCACTTTTGTTGTGAGATACTTAAGGTAAGATATCCTGCTAAGATTTGCACTGTCCCCTGGATTCAAAGTAATCCAAGCTAAGTCTACACTGGTAGGAGAAGGAAGAATCTCAAGGGGATAAGTTCCATTGCAGAATGCAGGTGAGATTGCCATTTTCAAATGCCACAATCTTTAAGAATGTTCAGGGAGGGAGGGAGGGAAAGGGAGATTACAATGGATTTTCCAGCTGAAGTGGCCCAGACCACTTGGCTAGGACTGGCTAATCTTGGCTAGGACTGGCTAATCTGACATTGCTGGACTCTAATAAGTTCCTGCTAGCATGGCCAATAATAAGGGGTGGTGGAAGCTGGAGTCTGATAGCATCCGGAAGGTCACATGGTGACCACATCTACTCTATAATCTAAAGCACTTCATTCCCACCTCATCCAAGAACTTCAACAGAACTACTTGTGACTGTTGGAAAGAGCAGTTAGTGTTCCAATACCACTTTCAGTTATGCACAGGTAGGACCTGCCAACAAAATGCTGTACTGGATATGGATCTGCACTCAGATAATTAAATCCACTACCAGTATATATTGGATGCAGAAATCCCACTGGTAACAATTACGTGCTGCAGGATCACACACTGAGTTGCTGCTTAAAACCCACAGAAAACAGTGGGAATCTTCTAGTTCATCACAATGGGTTTCCAAGTCATAGGTACTCATGCTCACAAAGCTGAAAGGTTGACACAGTGTTGTCTATCCCCCTGAAACCTCTCACCACATGGAAACTCAGTGAGCCCATAACATTATTTTAACCTAGAGGATTTGCAAATGTAGGTCATGGAATGTAGACCTAAGATGGGAGGAGAAGGGCTTAAGAGTTTGATTTACATCTGTATGGAACCCTACAGAGGTACAAGTAAAAGCAGGAGGGATCATTTTGAGTGGAGAAAAATGGCACAATCCAATGGGTTAAAATCTCCCGGCTTCTATCTGTCTGTTCCTAATCAGCCCCCCCAAGCGGTTTTTGATTTATTTCATTTTTAAGACTGTTGAGTGTAACAATACACTAGGTTACATCGTAGCCCACAGATTATGCCTCCCTCCAGTGTGATGGTATTTCACAGATATGGGGAACCTGTGGCTTTCCAGATATTGCTGGACTACAGGTCTCATCATCCCTAACCACAGGCCATTGTGGCTGCAGGGGTTGATGGGGGTTGGAATGCAACAGCATTGGAGGGGGCACATGTTTCTCAGCCATGGTATATAGGTAAGTCACTTTTAGATACTTTGGTGTAAAAAAGTGACAAATAAATATAATAAATAATTAAATACATGAATAACAGACATTTGTTTTTTCGCCTTATCCCATATATGCCCACTCTACCTCTTCAATCTGTAGAACTGGCACTGTTAAGAGCTCTGCATAATATCTGTTCTGCACTTGACTGATGAAGTCCCTTCCCTCTGAGGGTTTATCAATACACAACTGGACCATCATACCTAGATATTTTAAGAACCCTTGTTGAGATAATTGAAATGGGGATATAGGCAGACATCCTTTCACATTGTTGAGACTCTCTAGTTTATTTTATATATTCAAGATGCATGTAGGCTGTTGTCAGGGTGCTATACTTAGATTCTGCCTTTAGAAAAACTGTTAAGTGCTGAGATAGGGCAGGCGAAATAAGTTGATAATACAAAATATGATTCAAGATCAATTACCCTAACATTCTTTTTGATGATCTCCTTGTTCATCAGCATCCTTCCTTCAGACAACTCAATCCCGGACAGAGGAAAGAGAACTTCTCCAATGATGTCATCTCGGGAAAATCGGTCAAAACTTAGGATCATAAAGTGAAGGCTCAGATCTTGGACTTGAGTATAAGGGATTCCATAGAAGGTGAAGGTTTCATCAAAAGCTGGGTCTAATGTTTTTCTCAGTACTCGAGTTTTCACCTTGTGCTTCTTCTCCGGCAGTATCGTCATTTTGATGTATGGATCAGAAGTCATTGACTGTTCATCCATGGCAGGCAAGCCACGTGCTTCCTTGATGTTCACCATGAAAGCCTTCTTCTCAAAGTTATACTCAATGGAGAAGAAGAGAGTCCCTAATTTATCTTGCTTCTCTTCAGAAGATATGGAAGTAACAGACTTCAGGCTATCAGGGGAGACAGAATCTTTTTCCCTCTCAGGAAAGAGCTTTGGAGTGAAGTTCTCAAGATCTGAGGAGCTGGGTATTTTGGGGGTTGTTTTGGGGAAATTGCCGTTCAGATCTCGTTTCTCCAGATCAAGGTGGAGAGAGGTCTTTGGCATAACCGGTTTGCTTTTGCCTTCTTCCTTGTCCTCTGCCCCAAACTTCTTTTTGCTGTTGAGGTTCTCAGGATAGATGTCGACACCCTTCAGCACATGAACAAATTTGTAAGGCGGGGTCTTATTTGATTTGGAAGATTTGCGTTGGCAGCAGATCCAAGCAAAGAGGGAGACAGTGAAGACCAGCCCAAAGGCGCTGAAGATTCCAACCACAGTTGGAATTTCATCTGCAAGTCAAAGCACATGGCAACAAATGCATGAACGGCAGACTTCAGAGGTTGAAAGCAGTAGTTAAACTAACTATGCAAAGGTGAGCCAACTGGTGAAGCAGAGAGAATGAACTGCTAGGTATACTTTATAACAATAAAGCCTATTCATGTTGCGCCCCCTGCAGGTATGAACATGTATCGAAAACTCTGGCTGGGCATGTTTGCTGTTGCATGCAAACCTGGAACAAACACAGTTCAACAATTGTGATTATAACAACTGACACGATTCTGTTCAATTTTGCTGCTGCCCCATATAAAATTTATGAATTCAGTACACATATAAACATCTCTAGCTCCCTCCTACACCCTTCACATTAGTCTAAGTAGATAAAAGAGAATTTGAAATATGTGTTAGTCATATGCATGACATCCACTTTTATATTATGGATTTCCCTTTGTGTTCAAGAAGCTACATATTTGCATGGCCTCATTGCAGGAAGGGACTGGTGTTTGGCATGAAAATGCAGAAACTTAGAGTCTTAGGATATTCTTGCCATCAGCCTGGTGTCAGTTTTCTATGCAACACTGAACATATGCAGCCAGCCATTTCACCTTGTGCTATTTGTCCACTATGCAAGTGCATGTTTAAATCCATCTGTGCACCTAATATTTTGTAAGCATTGGATCTATCTAGTTGCAGAGGCAAAATGACGTTCAAAGCTACCCAGAGATGAGGGCATCTAAAACAACATTTCAAGGAAGCACATTTTCCAGCCGCGGCAAGTAAATCAATTCCCCGAGAACTTCTTTCCATCACTCGTATGAATCAGCCCACATTCCAAATGGCAATAGGGAAAATAGCATGAAAGCTGCAATGACATCTGGCGCATGGATAAAAGAGGAGCATTAGCATTTCATGAGTAAGCAGTGCAGGGCCAAATGAACGCCACTAATTGGAAATCCAATTCTGTCCATAAGTAACATTTCTAAGTGAGTCTAAGTACCACACGCTGGTAGCACCAATCAAGGCTAAGTCCACATTCTCCAAGTGAAATGGGGGACTCATGAAATATTAATGCAATGGCATTGCTTATGCAGGAAGGTAGCAAGAGTGCTGGTGTTCTAACAAATGATCAGCATCCTCTCTGTTTAAGAGAGAGTGAACGAACAGTTCCCTTGAAAGGATAAGTAAATCTCTGCTTGAGATGCAGAATGAGCCTCCCAAACTTGTGTAAGCAGATCCCTGATCTCCAGTTTAAATGACAGGGACACACACACACACACACACACACACACTAGACTTGCACACCCAGCCTTGGCATTAAAATAATGACTTGAATTGTTTTTAATCAAATCCATGGAGAAATGAAGGGTCCCACATATAAATGAGCTATTGAAGAGTTAGCATCAGCTCTCACTACCTACCTTGCCACTTTTATAGGACTGTTAGCATGGGAGATCTTTTCTCACTCTGGCTGACTGCTTTTGATTAGCGTAGATTTGTAATGAACTTACTACATGCAGGGCATGGAAATGGGTTAGTGTGCAGAAAACCTTGCTTTGGGGTAGAGCACTGGTCACTGGGTCAGTTCCACCCCTTACATTTTTGTGGACTGGGTCACTTTTTCTTTATTTCTTTTTCCTCATACAAAATATGGGGCTAGGAGACAAGACACAACCCATCAACAGTGAGGTAATGACAGTTGCATAAGATGCTTTGGGAAAGAGGCCAGACTGGATCATTAACTCGGCTGAACAGATTTTAATGGCCAATTGACATATTTGCAAATACTCTTTTGAAGCTTGCATGCCGAAGTATTGTCTCCAGCAGCAGGAATGATGGTGCAAGTTACAAGCCCAGCCTCTGAGAGGAAGAATGCCACAGTTTTATATTAATTATCCTCATAAAGTCAGTTATCAGGTGAGCAAGCTGTCACAAATGAAATTAGAAACACCCAGGGGGGGTGATACAAGATGAAATCAAAACTAAATGTGCTGTACAATAGCTGCCAGTGGGCTTACAATCTGCCTTCCTTGCTGTTTTCATATGGCAAAGCAATTGCTTAGGTATTATAGCAGCTATATGGAAATGGTAGACTGGTTTGAAAATGTGCTGTTTCTGAAAGTGAGTAGGACAGATTACAGAAGTGTTAACTGGAAGGGGCAGAATCTAGACACACGGCACAAATATGAACTGATCCAGTTTGAGTTGGGACCCAAAGAATTCAACTATGCCAACATAATTTTAAACTCCTATTAACTTCATCTAGAGGCTAGTGGAACTGACATATATGACTTACAGTTTACTCTCACAGTCTCGGGTGTACTTCGACTGTGGAGGAGCTGTGCTGCTACCCTGGCATATGGCAATGATAGCTATCAGGACAACATGAATAAAAGTAAGGTAAAAAGGTAAAGTGGTCACTAGCTGAACCACCCTCTAGGGACAAGGGGAGGGAAACAACTTTATTTATATGAATGTATACAGCTCTCTCTAGGTCTAAAAGATAACGAGCCTACTTGTTTAAAGTTTAAGCAGATATATTGGTGCAGAAAAGTGTTGTTTTTTAATTGCCTACTTTGAATATGAGAAGAGAACCAGGGTTTAACTTTTGTTTCTGTACACACACACACACACACACACACACACACAATACTTAGTTCAAAGCATTTTTTAAGGGAGGGGTACTTTGCATACACTCCCTTAGCAACATCACTAATGACAGGAGACAGACAGTTGCAGAGGAAGAGAGCAAGCCTATGGACAGATGAGTGGGTGGGTGGATGACTAATCTATTTGAGTAAATATCTATCTGTTCCTCTCTTGAAAGAAGCAGTTATGGCAATTATCCTGAGAACATGTAGAATATGGATTTGGAATGAAATGCATATAACTGATTCTTCTCTAAAGCTAGATCACAACAAACAGTATCTTTCTCCAGACACTCCCCACCCCCACCCCAAAAGACACACCTCACGGTGCATATATTTTACTTGTGAATTTTTGGGAGCCATAGAAAGAGCACGGCGGAAATCAATAAACTGTAGAACTAATAAAAAAGGGGTGTAAAACTTCTGTAAAAGCCAAGCATCAAATATAAAAGATGCTTTTAAGGAGAGGCAACTGACGTCGCTCATATCAGAGCACAGGAACAGCCTTAGCTTTCCAGCGCTGGCTTTCCCCCAGGAGCCCGAAACAGTAGTCATATAATTGCCTTTTCCAAAGCACCTGAATGAAATGAAATTAATCAAGCCTTCAAGATCGGGTTTTTTAAAGAAGACGCTTACCAAATTCTTCCCGGCTGGCTGCAATCGGAGCCATGTTGCTTGCTGCGCGCTCTCTCCAAGGTGCTGAAACCGCTCTTTCCTTTTTTTGCTCCTGTGCTCAGCCGCTCACTGAAGAGGAGGGAGGGAGAAAACGCATATACGTACACACAACCAAGGGAGTCTTGTTTTCCAACGTGATGAAAACACAAGCCTGAAAGATCGGGAAGGTTTTAGAAGGAAGAGGAGGCGGTAGAGAGGAATGGGTGGGGGGAAAGGGGAGGGAGGGTCTAGTACAGTCCTCCTTTCCTGCACACTGATTCGTGAGCCCTTGTCCTGTGGTTCAGATCTTCTGACTAACTGAGCTCTGAGACTGAAGACGTGGTTGAAACCCAAATTGACGCAATCCTGACGCTACAGAACTGAAATCAGTACCTCCCCCCTCCCCCCCCCCACTCCTGGGAATCCGGCACACATTCATCAATTATTTTAACGGCTCTGCTGCAGGAGATTAGCTCACGTTCTCAGTCGGACACAGACAGCAATGCTAATTTCTAGGGCCAAATCTCCCAATGTCTTTATAAGGCACAGTCGGACTTTATTTTTTTAAGTATATATTATTAATGTTTTATCCATGTTTTCTGTGACGGTGCTCTAAATGGAGAAGACGAAAGCCCTGGAGGCGAATGACCCAGATCCGTGCCTTTTCTGTTCTTTTCTCTCTCCCACTCTCTAAGATGAAACGCTTGGTTTGACTGGATTGCCAAACGGTTTTGGTTCTCACTGAAGACTGCAGGAAGTGGAACGTTTGTGTTTCTGGGAGTTACTGCAATATCTGTATCATCCCCTTCTAACAGACTACATTTTTATTCTGTTGTATCTAGCCCCACCCCCCGCTTTTCTCTCTCACACAAAACCTTTTCATAAAAAAAACTTTAAAATAAAAATAAAAATCAGCTTTGATTCACTACATAGTTAATACACAATATTCTACTTCCCAGACACATATAAAATTGAAACTCTAAATTACCCAGAGTTGCCAAATGGCCTTTATCCTCCATGGGAGTAGCCAGACTATTTGAGGGGAGGGCAGAAACTCTTATTCATGTTGGTACCATGAACTTACCATGGGCAAATAGTCTCCCCTATATATTCTTTTTTTTTTTTTTAAATGAACCTAGCTCACTGAATCATTTCTAATACAAGACAACAATGTAAGCCCCATTGAGCTCAATGGGATTCACATGATTAGCATTGGACTGTGAAAGATGCTGTCATGAGGACTGGTGCTTTTCACACATTATGTGATGCACATGTACATGTTTGTGTGAATGACTATCCACATACTGTAGTGAATTTGAAAGTCAACATGTGGGCTGAGGTCCTCAAAAAAGGGTACAGACATGTGTGTTGAATGCACCAATGTATAATCATGTGCGGAATACTACAGTAAGATTCTTGTTCCATCTAGCTCAGTGTTGGCTACACTGACTGGCAGCAGGTCTTGGGGATGCCACAGTTTGAACCTGGGACCGTCTTCATCCAATGCAGCCACTGAGCTGCTGTGAATAATATCCTCTGACCTGGAAGTTGTCCTGTATGGTTTGGGGCTAGGTGTTTAATGAGAGAATGGAGCTCTGTACATGCTCAAAATCACTACAGTGGTACCTCGGGTTACATACGCTTCAGGTTACATACGCTTCAGGTTACAGACTCTGTTAACCCTGAAATAGTGCTTCAGGTTAAGCACTTTGCTTCAGGATGAGAACAGAAATCGTGCTCCAGCGGTGCAGCAGCAGCAGCAGCAGCAGCAGGAGGCCCCATTAGCTAAAGTGGTGCTTCAGGTTAAGAACAGTTTCAGGTTAAGTACAGACCTCCGGAACAAATTATGTACTTAACCTGAGGTACCACTGTATTAATGAGCTGAGCTATGGTGCCAATTAAGCCTTGCCCCACATCAAAATAAAAGCCAAACTACCCCACTCTTCCAAATGCTTTATAACTCTGGTGTGCATGAGTGCACAATCTTTGGTGTCTTTCCTCCATATTCATGCTTGCCCAGCTAGGACAACTACACACAAGAATAGAAAGTAAAGTAAAACATAGTTAAATTTCAACCATTCTTCCTCAACAATAACATTATCAAGGGAAGGCAACAGAGCTCAGCTCTTGATTGTCTCCTTGCTGTTCATTGCCAATTTTCTTGTTGTGTTCATTCTTGAAACATCAGATTCAACCTAGGAGAGTACATGGGGATGCACAGTGTTCCATGTGAACAGGGACTTTGTCATTCATTGCAGTACCAGAGAATGTTTTGGCACACTTTGGATATATGATTGGGTCATGATGTGAACACCCTTGGCTAGGCACTTGGTGAGAACTGAGGGTCAACTGCATGTTCACCCAGCTGAAGCCAAGGTAGTGAACTGTGGGTTGATCAGCCAAACCAGGAAGAAAAGCTCCTCATGGAAACATGCCCTCTGATCCATGAATTTGTCTAATCCTTTTTTTAAACCATTGACATTGGTAGCCATCACTGCCTCCTATGAGAACAAGTTCCACAGTTTCTATGGATTGTGTGGTTGCAGCTCAGCCATGGTTGAACTTTAAACTGTATGGGGGGATGCCTAGTCAGTCAGCTTCCCAGATAGATTTGTCCCATGTGTTATGTTTAAAGTGTCCACCAATGTGAAAGGTAAAAGGTAAAGGACCCCTGACAGTTAAGGCCAGTCGCGAACAACTCTGGGGTTGCGGCACTTATCTCTCTTTACTGGCCAAGGGAGCCAACGTTTGTCCGCAGACAGTTTTTTCCGGGTCATGTGGCCAGCATGACTAAGTCGCTTCTGCCGAAACCAGAGCAGCGCACGGAAATGCCATTTACCTTCCCGCCAGAGTGGTACCTATTTATCTACTTGCACTTTGACGTGCTTTCGAACTGCTAGGTTGGCAGGAGCAGGGACCAAGCAACGGGAGCTCACCCCGTCGCGGGGATTCGAACCGCTGACATTCCGATTGGCAAGCCCTAGGCTCAGTGGTTTAGACCACAGTTCCACCCATGTCCCGACTATGTGAAAGGAGCAAGCCTCAAAGTCTCTGTGTGAGTGCCTGGAAATAAATAACGAAAGGAAAGGCATTATCTGGATTGATCCCACTTTACTCCCCCTCCCTCTCTGTGTTGTTTTGCTAATGCACACAAACACACACACACACACACTTCCATCTGTCTGGTCCACCCTCCCCTACTGACATCTCAAAGTCATACTTCTCCCAATGGTGAGTCGTGGGACATAATTTCATTTAATTTCAGGCTCACAGCCAGACAAGACACAGTTAGCTACCCATGATCAAAATGATAGTTAAAAAACAAAGCAAAATAACAAAAAAGTCAGGTTAAACAAAAGCATGGTAGTGAATCATTATTTAGCTACAACCGTGGCCAAATAGTAACACAACAAAACCAGCACATCAATATGCAATATGTTCTGCAATTGCATTGAGCCTTATTGATCTGCCCATCTAAAGAACATCAGCTTTATGTTACAGGCATACAGAGAGAGGAATAATATAGATGCTCTCCGTGACCCATCAATGGATTCACAGTAGTTTGCAGTGGAAGAGATCAGGGACCATATCTATCTGCTGGTGCCCATTAGAGCTATGGAGCAGGAGGGAGCTGTCAATTAGCAGCTGCCAAAGGTGTTCTCCCCATTGGGTTTCCTGGGAAATGGGAGACAATTGCAAGGACTTTACAGCAAAACATGCTGTTGCACAGCTTGCAGAAATGCCTTGATGTCACAGCAATTGGGTGCCCCTTTAATAAGAATCAGGAGGGATCAATTATAAGATGAGGGCAATGTTGCTTTTAATGCAAACTATAGGAAGGCAAAATACACAGAGACTGAGGAGTCTGCAAATTTTGGATCACAGCAAAAGTCTACCTAGTCAACCGTGTCTTGTCTGCTGCAGTAGCCTGCCAGATAACACCCAGGAAGGCCACAAGGCCCACAAGCAAGTGGAAAATATAGGAAGTCAAGTTTTGTTTATATGCAGCCTCTGACACTGAAATATATTCTGCTTCTAAATTTGGAAGTGCAATTCCTAGCTGGTATCATAGGTCACAGCTATTGACAAGCCTTTGATGTTGTTGTTGTTTCAAAAAACTCTCATCCTTCATTGTAGAATCATAGAATTGCAGAGTTGGAAGGAACCTCAAGGATCATCTAGTCCAACCCCCTGCAATGCAGGAATCACAGTTAAAGCATCCATGACAGATGGCCATCCAACCTCTGCTTTAAAATATCCAGTGGAGAGTCCCACTCCTTCTGAGGCAGTCTGTTACACTGCCAGACAGCTCTTATTGTCAGAAAGATCTTCCTGTTGTTCAGTCAGAATCTCCTTTCTTGTAATCAATCACTTGTTAATTGACTGTGCATTGTGTGATAACTTCCTTTTGCTCATCCTGGACCCGTCATTCACAGGATGTCCCAAAGTTGTATTTTTGTTTCAGAAACTACAGATGCATTCTTTTCATTCATTCTCTCCAGGCACTAATCACCATATTAATCACAATCAGCATATATTCTCCACGGTGGACCCCAGCCTTTGGAGTGAACTCCCCACTGAGATGTTGATTCAGCCAGCTGTTAAGAACATATCTATTTATTTGCACTTTCCCTGGCCTCTGAAACTGGTTGAACAATTCCTAGATCTTTTGTAATTGTGATATATTTGGTGGTAATCTACTCACTCAGCTCAGCTGCACAAGGTTTACTGTGAGTGCAATGGGATTCCCCCTTCCCCTACATTTACCCCCACCTATGCCCCAAATATGTAGGGTGGGTGGGAACCCCTTGAACAGATTCAGTGGATGTATAGAAGGGGAGTTCTGTTGTGCCAGGAGTAGACCTATTGTAATCATAGGAGGTCATAGTTGGATTCCATCCATTGCATACAGAATTAGTTCTTTTGCACTGAATTGCTTCTTTATTGTAAACTATCTTGGCATCCTTTTAGTGTGCGTGTGAGTGTGTGAGTGTGTGAGTGTGTGTGTGTGTGTGTGTGTGTGTTCTAATAAATAAATGATACATTGCTACAACACTCTTATTATGCATAGTGCTCGGCAAACCTATCCTATTTTGAAGCATTTTTCTTTCTCTCCCAGTATATAGGAAATGGAGAGATTATGATGTAGCTAATTCAATGACCAAGTCTGCAAATGCATAGTCCATTAGAAGAAGAAGAAGAAAAAGATAGTATCAGACCTGCTTGAGAAGAGGAGAGTATGGGGTTGGATTTAGCCAGTGCCCCCCAGGTCCCTCTTCAGCTGTCAAAGATCTTATCAGCAGGATTTCAGTCTGTTTGTTTTTCAAATAAAAAGAGATGTGTGTTCATCCCTGTCTCTTCTGTGCAGGCTCTGTGAGATTGGAGTCGGTATCTTTCCTCTGCCAAAGCTCAATATTCTATCCAATGCATCACCTTTTTCTCCCCTCAGAGTCTTCTCCTCCTCACACTGTTGTCTAATTTGCACAGAGGATGAAAATGTGGATTATCAGCAGTTCCAAGATGGGGGTCACGGCCTCCATGCCTTTTCTGAAGATTGGGGGACCTGTGGCCCTCCAGGGGTAGTCAGACTCCACCTCCCATCAGCCCCAGTCATCACAGCCAATGGTCAACGGTGATGGAAACTGGAATCCAACTACATCTTGAGGGCCACAGGTTCCCAATCCCTGCCTTATAAATTGTCTTCATGAAAATTCTCTTTCAGAGGCCCACGGATTCTTGGTGCAACTTATTTCCCATCATAATGAATGCAGCCTTCCCAGCGTTGTACTGTGGCCCAACAATTTCTCGAGAACCTCCTCACTGCCTTAGTTTTTTGCAAGTGGCAAAATCAGGCCCATTGAGCTGTGTCTGGCTTAGCACATGGCAGAAAAAATACCACGTGTCTGTGATGGACTGGGCCAGAGACAAAACTGGGTGATGCCTTTGTATTATGAGCTAGTTTTGGCACATACGCCCTCTCCCCTCTCTGATCTGGGGAGAGTCCTGATGGCCATATAGAGAGGACTGGTGTGGGTGTGTGCGCTGCATTCTGCTCCCAGGTCTATGGTTCCCCACCTATGGCTTAGTGGATCCCCATCTATGCAGTTCTATAATGAACTCTGTTCATAGTCTTTTGACAGTGCTAATTGTGATCTGGAAAGTGATGCTATAAAAAGGATGTCAGGCAGAATGAAAGCCACTTCCCATGTTGACATTCCATCTGTGGTTTGCATGGAAATATCACAGTTGATCATCAACCTTCCTCCTTGCAGGGACCCAGCCTTCTTGCCACTGACCATTATTGGGGCAGGTGCTGTGGTCTAAACCACAGAGCCTAGGGCTTGCTGATCAGAAGGTCAGCAGTTCGAATCCCCGTGACGGGGTGAGCTCCCGTTGCTTGGTCCCTGCTCCTACCAACCTAGCAGTTGGAAAGCACTTCAAAGTGCAAGTAGATACATAGGTACCGCTCTGGTGGGAAGGTAAACGGCATTTTCGTGCCCTGCTCTGGTTCGCCAGAAGCTGCTTAGTCATGCTGGCCACATGACCCAGAAGCTGTACGCCGACTCCCTTGGCCAGTAAAGTGAGATGAGTGCTGCAACCCGAGTCGTCTGCGACTGGACCTGACAGTCAGGGGTTCCTTTACCTTTACTTTACCTTACTCCCCTGCTTTCATACGACTTAGGCTTTTAACATTCAGTAACACGGATTGGATCTGGCATCTTCTACATGCCAAAGAGCTGTAGGGCTAGTGGTTAAAAAGAAATTGGTCAGTTAATCATTTTGGTTTCAATCAATTCATTCATAATTACCTGATTATTTACAGCACAGTCTAGTATTTGTTTACTCTAGCAGAAGTTCCAATATACTCAATGGGACTTCCTTCTAGGTAAGTGCCTATAGGGTGGCATACTAAATGTGCATCCATTTGAAGATGAATAAAACACGACTTTTGAAGGAACAAGGCATTCTCAATTTCTTTTGGGGACATGCACTCCTTTATTGCACAAGACACCAGCCTAGAAGGTGTTTCGTTCTTAAACCAAGAGTATTGCCTTTTCTAATATGTGTAAGTATTAATATTTAAAATAATTAACTTCAAAAAGCCGCCTTTTTAATAGAATAAATACGTTTTTATTCAAATGATTTAATCAACTACACTGCTGAATCTTGCTGTCCTAGTATAATTAGATACCAGACATTTGCTCAATCTATTCCATGCTGTATTTAGAACCCTGCTTTCTTGTTAAACTCTAAAGTAAGTGTGTCATGCGGTACAACTAAGTAACAGCATGGGCTTGATGCAGTGAAAAGCCCTAGACAGATATGTTGTGCAAGCTCCATCTAGTGTACATATTAGACCCACCAATGGTTCATGAACAAATGATACACAGATTCGTGAACTTTGAAGGCATGAATCCTGGGGCCTAAGTGGAGAAAACAGGGCTAGTAAGACAGAGTCCAGAAGCATTTTCTAAATGCTTAGTCACAAAACGTGAAATGGAACGTTAATTTGTGAGTTTAACTCTCTCCCACCTCTTTTGCTTTGTTTTATTGTTCTCTGCAACTGTTTTACCAAAAGGTGGAAATCACAAGGAAACTGTCTAAATGTTAAGAACATAAGAAAAGCCCTTTTGGGTCAGGCCATTAGCCCATCAAAGTTCAGCATCCTATTCTCATAGGGGCCAACCAGCTGCCTGTGGGAAGCCTACAGACAGGACCTAGGCATAACAGAGAGCCAGTGTAGTGTAGTGGTTAAGAGCAGTGGACCCGTAATCTGGTGAACCGGGTTCGCGTCCCCGCTCCTCCACATGCAGCTGCTGGGTGACCTTGGGCTAGTCACACTTCTTTGAAGTCCCTTAGCCTCACTCACCTCATAGAGTGTTTGTTGTGGGGGAGGAAGGGAAAGGAGCTTTGAGACTGCTTAGGGTAGTGATAAAGTGGGATATCAAACCCAAACTCCTCCTCCACTTCCTCCTCCTCCTTCTTCCCTTCCTGTGGTTCCCAAAAACTGGTATTCAGAGGAATACAGCCTCTGACAGCAGAGGTAGAACATAAGCCATCCAGTTGAATAGCCATTGGTAGCACTCTACTCCATGAATTTGTCCAATCCTCTTTTAAAGCCATTCAAGTTTATGGCCATCACTACCTCCTGTGTAGAGACATCACCTTGCCAACAAAGGTCCGTGTAGTAAAAGCTATGGTTTTCCCAATAGTGATGTATGGAAGTGAAAGCTGGACCATAAAGAAGGTTGACCGCTGAAGAATTGATGCTTTGGGATTATGGTGCTGGAGGAGACTTTTGAGAGTCCCATGGATTGCAACAAGATCAAACCTATCCATTCTGAAGGAAATCAGCCCTGAGTGCTCACTGGAAGGACAGATCGTGAAGCCAAGGCTCCAATACTTTGGCCACCTCATGAGAAGAAAAGACTCCCTGGAAAAGACCCTGATGTTGGGAAAGATGGAGGGCACAAGGAGAAGGGGACGACAGAGGACGAGATGGTTGGACAGTGTTCTCGAAGCTACCAGCATGAGTTTGACCAAACTGTGGGAGGCAGTGGAAGACAGGAGTGCCTGGTATGCTCTGGTCCATGGGGTCACGAAGAGTCGGACACGACTAAACGACTAAACAACAACAACAACAACACCTCCTGTGGAAACCAGAGGCCTAGCATGGGCAGGGCAAGGGGGGCTGTTGCCCTGGGCGCAGTTTTTTCAGGGATGCATTTGGTAGCATGGGGCTGAGAGGGTGTCAGGAAGACGCAACAGGCATGCACCCGACTGGACTGATTGGAAGGGCGAGCGCCTGTCCTGTTGCATCCTCTTCACATCGCCCTCGGCACCCTGCCCTCCCCCATACTACCCGGGCATGTCTGCCCCAGGCACCACAAAGACATGCTCCACTGCTGGTGGGAACAAATCCCATAACTTAAATCTATTTTGTGTGGAGAAGTATTTATTTTTGGTCGGTCTTGAATCTTCCAACATCTTCATTGGATGTCCACAAGTTCTATTCTTCTGAAGCAGGGTGGGGGAGGGAAATTTGTGCTCACCTCTTTCTCTACACCCTAAAGGTAAAGGGATCCCTGACCAATAGGTCCAGTCGTGGATGACTCTGGGGTTGCGGTGCTCATCTCGCTTTACTGGCCAAGGGAGCCGGCATACAGCTTCCAGGTCATGACTAAGCTGCTTCTGGCGAACCAGAGCAGAGCATGGAATAATAATAATAATAATAATAATAATAATAATAATAATAATGTATTATTTATACCCCGCCCATCTGGCTGAGTCTCCCCAGCCACTCTGGGCGGCTCCCAATCAAATGTTAAAAACAGTACAGCATTAAATATTAAAAACTTCCCTACACTGCCGTTTACCTTCCCGCCAGAGTGGTACCTATTTATCTACTTGCACTTTGACGTGCTTTCGAACTGCTAGGTGGGCAGGAGCTGGGACCAAACAACGGGAGCTCACTCCATCGCTGGGATTCGAACCACCGACCTTCTGATCAGCAAGCCCTAGGCTCTGTGGTTTAGACCACAGCACCACCTGCGTCCCTTCTCTACACCCTACAGAAGTGTATATCCTTCTAAGCTATCACTTATGCCCTCCCCTTAACCCAAAAGCCCCAAATTCTGTAGCTGTCCTTATTAGGAAAAGAAACTCTCTGATGGTAGAAGCTGTTCAACAGTGGAAGAGACTGCAGAGAGAGGGGGTAGCTTCTCCTCTACTCTAGATATCAAAGCAAATGCCAGAGGTCCACCTGTTGGTGTTGATGTGCTCCCATCCTGCACTGTGGATCTTGTCGAAAGCAGCAGGTTGGTCTAGATGACATGCAAGGTCCTTTCCAGCTCTACGGTTCCAACAAACAAATCTTTCTTCCAGAAGGATCTATGTGGGGATATGAAATGATCCTAGCATTGTATGCAATCCTGCTCCTATCACTTTGCATGCACAATCTCAGTAACCCAGACAACATGCCTGTAATTTTAAGACAGTATTATGGTCCCGGGGTGCCTGGCGTGCTCTGGTCCATGGGGTCACGAAGAGTCGGACACGACTAAACAACTAAACAACAACAACAAAATTATGGTCCCAAGACACTGCGAAGCTGGTGACTGAGAGGAGACTGGCCTTTTGAGTTCATGGCCACAATGAATTTTGAACCAGGGAGCCATTCTCAAACTTACTTTTTCTTACCCACTTATGCAACAACAGTTGGTTAGAACATGGCGCCGCTAATGCCAAGGTTTGCAGGTTTGATCCCTGCATGGGACAGCTGCATATTCATTCATTTGAATGTACATGTAATTCTCATGTAAACAAAACTATTAACTATCTTATGTTCCAGTTAGGGGGGTATAACAAATGCCCTGTCTATGCCTATGCAGTCTGATCACTGCCACAGATAACTTTTGATCCTTAGTTTGCTTCACTAGCCTTGCAAATAAGAGTCTCTTTCAGAAGTCATTGGCCTCTGACTCTGAACTTAATGTTTGTTATCATATTTCATTGGAGACTATTTCTTCTCTTCCTATTGCAGTGAATGCATTGACTGGAGAAAGGTGTGTCTCTGGGGCATGTGCAGAGAGCTATCATAATTAACTCTCTGTCTTTCAATGGAAGGCCTTATTTGGAGGGCCGGGAGGGGGGTCTCGGGCCATCTAAGAAAGCTTATCGGAAGAAATGGAAAGAAAAGGTTGATCTTGCAATGAGATTTAGAATTTGCATAAGCCGATCAGCTTCACTCAAAGTGCTCCTGGGGGTCTGAGAAGCAGATTATCGCAGCACCAGGGCCTGCACTCACCACCTTCCTGCAGCTGAAAGAAAGCAGGAAGCGTGGTTGCTAGGAGATGGCCCATACACTTCCAAAAGCAGCTAAGACTCAAATGAGCCTCTGGGCTTGGAAAACACTTCTCTCCCCCTGCCCACTTCTCCTACCCGACTGTAAATAACAGCTCAGAGATTCTTTGTCACCTTTAAAAACCCTTCAGTAAAAAGGAGACTCCTCTTGCCTTCCTTGCTATGGTAATGAAACTTCACATTTTTTCCACGCCATGCAAAATTTCAACAGGCGAAAGGTCCTCTCCTTGATTCCCTTCTCATCAAATTGCTTGCTTGTTTGCTGCATCTTTTATACATGTTCTGCCAAGCCAATTAATGTGGCTTACAGGGTAAAATCAAGGCTTACATTTTAAGACATGGGATACAGAAGGGGGGAAAGAACAGGGATGAGAAGAAGCTGAGTTGTGTTGGGGGGCTGGGGGAGCAGGTTCAGGTAGTAGTTTAGTCATGCTGCTGCATAATAAATTTATATAATGACTAGGGTCACATTCATACCTCTTATTTAAAGCACCCTGCTCCCTCTCACACACACCAAGACTCTGTACTTTCCTGTGGCGATCACACAGAGTCCCCGGACGTTTCACCGTCTATTGATCCCTGTGCCACCACTTGATTTCTCGCTGCCACCACCCAGGCCCTACCTGGGACACTACCGAGTCCAGTCAGGGTTAAATTGAAACATAAACTTTTGTTTATTTATTGCAGTTTAACAAGCGGGTGGTTTCATAAACGGTATTGGTCAATTACAATCATGGGGTGCCTATCCAGACCTATAACTGCCGCTACCTGCTCTCACTCACTAAACCACCTCTCAGATATTTACTTGTCTTCCTAGCTCCTAACTGTTCCTGACTCAACTTATTTCTCTACACTAACTCAACATACCCCCAGACTCTATCCCAATTCACTCCCACTCCACCCAACTCCCAATGAACTCTTTAACAAACTCCTCCCTTTGACCCTCCTAGAGCTGGTTTTATAGTCCCTCTGACTCCACCCCCCTGGGTTCTGATTGGGTAACTTGTTTAATTAACTTGTTTAACTGGTGCTTGGGGGCATGTGGGTGGAGAGGAGAAGAAGAAGAAGAAGAAGAAGAAGAAGAAGAAGAAGAAGAAGAAGAAGAAGAAGAAGAATTTGGATTTGATATCTCGCTTTATCACTACTCAAAGGAGTCTCAAAGTGGCTAACATTCTCCTTTCCCTTCCTCCCCCACAATAAACACTGTGTGAGGTGAGTGGGGCTGAGAGACTTCAGAGAAGTGTGATTAGCCCAAGGTCACCCAGAAGCTGCATGTGGAGGAGCGGAGACGCGAACCCGGTTCACCAGATTATGAGTCCACCACTCTTAACCACTACACCACACTGGCTACACCACACAGCAGCAAGATGTGTTTGAAGCCCTAAACGACTCAGGCCCCCTAAGAACTAGGAGTAATAAGCCAATGGCTTCCATGACTATCTGTTTGCTCGCCTATAGCAAATGCATCTTGTCTCAGTTTTTCTGAGAGCAAGAGGAGACAGTAGAGTGCTGGAGGGAGGGAGAGGGAGGGAGGGAGGGAGAGAGAGAGAGAGAGAGCGTGTTCACCCGAATATGATTTGCAACATGACTCAGCATGCCTCATCAGACCGCAGTTAGCCTTTCCCTCACTGAGCCAGTTCAATCAGATAGATGGGAAGCTTGGTTCAAACTAGGCAGTCTTACTAAGCCTGAGACTGCCAGTGAATCTGGCCAAACTGTTCCCAAACTTGGCAGCTGAGTAATCTTATGTCACAGGGCCTTTAATTAAGGTGATACCCTTGGGTGTTGTTGTTCCATAGTAGCAAAATCCCAGTAAGTTCATGAGCCATGCATGCATTCCCCATGTTTGCTCCAGGGACCCTTGGCGACCCTTGAATGGAGTATTTTCACCAAAATACTAAGAATGGCTCTTGGACACGAGCAGTTCTATCCTGTCATGTGCTGTTACAGAGGCGCCAGCTTCTCCAGAGGATTGAGGGGCCCCGGCGTGACGTCACATGATGTCCTGATATCACATGTGTGCAACGTCACAAGGGGCTGTGTGGCAGAGCCCCCAGTGTGGCCCAGCCACCTCAAAAATGCACAGAGGAGCTGAAACTTCCTCTGCCGGGGGGCCCCCAGGGGGCGCATTGGAAGATGGCCGACAGTAACATCTCTCCGACCCACACGAGGTAATTAAGAGGCTGCTATGGGAAGTATGCAGCCTTCCCGGCCCCCCCAAGGGGATGGGGGGACTGCCTTGCCAGCGGTGTCCATAATGCACCCCCGGATTCGAAAGAAGGGGGTGCGGACACTTGGCACAAGCCTTCGTGTGAAGTCGGCTCTTCCTGACGCTGTCTCCAATCAGCACACTGGTTCGCTTTAGCTCGAAATATATAATTGGAAATATATAATTGGAAAGAAGCTAAAGCATATACATCAAGCGAAGATCGGGAGTAAAGACTGCTGATTAATGGATCTCTGTGAGCGGAGCGACGGGCAGGACAAATAAATCAAGTGATGAATCACCATTAAAAGACTGGTATGTTTGGAGTGAAACGGAAAGGGGGTTGAGGAAAAAACATTTTTTTTTTTTGCCTTATGTGAGTATTAATAACCCTCCACCCCAGAGAGAAGAATTGTTGCAATTTATTAATCACAAGCAGGAATTCAAGAACTGTGTGGAGTGAATTATTGATCAAAGAGAGGATTGGTAAACATCAGAGAAAGGAGGAAAGTTTTATGACGCAGTTTCAAATGGCGTCTCGCCAAGTCAGGCTTGCCTAAGAAGGACCGGGGGGGGGGGGAGGACCAGGGTCATCAGAATGTGAATGATTATCGGAATGTGATCTAGACCTGGCAGAGCCCTCTGAGATATGTTTGGCAAGCCTGGGAAAATCAACGGACAGACTGAGGAAAAGTTTCTTTACGGAGGTGTGGAAATTGCGTCTGCCCTTATGTGATATGATTTTTGGAGAGTGTAAAACCCACACAGAGGATGTTTGTTTTCAACCCGCTTGTGAAGATTATCAGAGATCGCAAAGAAAGGAATATATGATAACAACAAGAAGATGAGGAAAGTAACAAAGAGACTATCTGGACAGAACTGGATAGAACTGTCTAATTAAAGCAGCAATATAAGTGATGTTTGGACCCCTTTTCGGAGCTTGAAGTATGGGTACCCCCAACAAAAATTTAAAAATCTGGCTGTATAATTTGGAACTAATGTGATTTGGAAATAATGTGATTTGATTGGCCTGTTTATAAAAATTATATTAAAAAAAAGAAAAGAAACTTCCTCTGCCTCTAGGAGTTGGCATCTATGCCAACCTATAGCTAGCATGCTGTGGTTTGGAGAAAACTCATGTTCCTCAAATGCTAACTTAGGGGTATTAGACTATCATCTATCTATCTATCTATCTATCTATCTAATCTATCTATATCATCATCATCATCATAATTTATTATTTGTACCCTGCCCATCTGGCTGGGTTTCCCCAGCCACTCTGGGTGGCTTCCGACAAAGATTAAAAATACATTAGAATGTCACACATTAAAAACTTCCCTGAACAGGGCTGCCTTCAGATGTCTTCTAAATGTTAGGTAGTTGTTTATTTCTTTGACATCTTGTGGGAGGGTGTTCCACAGGGCAGGCGCCACTACCGAGAAGGCCCTCTGCCTGGTTCCCGGTAGCTTTGCTTCTCGCAATGAGGGAACTGCCAGAAGGCCCTCAGCGCTGGACCTCAGTGTCCGGGCAAAACAATGGGAGTGGAGACGCTCCTTCAGATATACTGGGCTGAGGCCATTTAGGGCTTTAAAGGTCAACACCAACACTTTGAATTGTGCTCGGAAACGTACTGGGAGCCAATGTAGGTCTTTCAATATTGGTGTTATGTGGTCTCGGCGGCCGCCCCTGGTCACCAGTCTAGCTGCCACATTCTGGATTAGTTGTAGTTTCCGGGTGACCTTCAAAGGTAGCCCCACGTAGAGTGCATTGCAGTAGTCTATCTATCTGTCTATCTATCTATCTATCTATCTATCTATCTATCTATCTATCTATCATCTATCTATCTATCTATCTATCTACATGTATTGGCTGATTATTGCATTTCTACCCAATTTTTCCAGTGAGTTTCACAGCTGAGTGGTGATTTGAACCCTAGTCTCCCAGGTCCCAGTCAAATACTCTAACCACTGCATAACATTATTTACTCTGACTGGCAGCAGCTGTCCAAGCAAGGTCCGACATACAATCCTTTCTCTTTACCTTCCTTTTTATCTTCTCAGATAAGAAATGAGGTGGGAGGATAGGCATGTATCCAGGGAATGTGTGCTTTGAAGCAGAAAAGAAGCGTCTCTCTCCCCCCCCCCCATCGTTCTGCCTGGACACTGAGGTCCAGCACCGAGGGCCTTCTGGCGGTTCCCTAACTGCGAGAAGCCAAATTACAGGGAACCAGGCAGAGGGCCTTCTCGGTAGTGGCACCTGCCCTGTGGAACACCCTCCCACCAGATGTCAAAGAGAACAACAACTACCAGACTTTTAGAAGACATCTGAAGGCAGCCCTGTTTAGGGAAGCTTTTAATGTTTAATAGGTTATTGTATTTTAATATTCTGTTGGAAGCTGCCCAGAGTGGCTGGGGAAACCCAGCCAGATTGGCGGGGCATAAATTTATTATTATTATTATTATTATTATTATTATTATTATTATTATTGCCATGTCCACATTGCTTTCTAAACTCAGTTGTCACTGAAGGGTCTTTAAAAGCTGATTGAATTCTTCTCGTTTGCAAAAGAAAGCAGCCCTAGTGCATAGGAGGACAGAATCAGGGGTGGTAGATGATGATAATATTTATACCCCAACCATCTGGTGGGGTTGCCCCAGCCACTCTGGGCAGCTTCCAACACATATATAAGCATAATAAAACATCAAACATCACCACCACCACCACCATCATCATTAATAAAACTTCCAGATACAGGGCTGCCTTCAGATGTCTTCTGAAAGTTGTACCATTATTTATCTCCTTGACATCTGACGGAAAGGCGTTCCCCAGGGAGGGTGCCACTGCTGAGAAGGCCCTCTGCCTGGTCCCCTGCTGTAGGAGGTAATTCAACTCCCTTTGGCCAAAGCTCTAACAAAGTCCATCCAGTTTTAGACAACACATGCCAGAATGCCCTTGCAGCCATGGGAATGAATTGGCAGTGGTGCAGTGAGGTCCTTTTACACTCCCGGCTGCATGGTCTTATGCAGCTCCCCCCCATAGGCAGTCATAGATATTACTTCACTTACTTGTGGTACACCAGCTGGGCTGCATCTGCCCCCTAAAGTCCTTCCCTGACAGCCCCCGCCGTGAAAGGGTTGACAGCGATGCCAGACCCAGCCCTGTGCTGAAGTGCGTTCTCCTTTGGCTTCTCCTTCCGGGATAATTTTAAGATATTTAAATCTTGGCTGAGAGGCAGGGAGGAGGAAAAGACAACCTAGCTCTGCAGTGAGTAAGGTATTTCCCACAATGGATTCTGAAGTGGCTGCCGTCAGTGCGCGCTGGCAGAGATGATGTATTCCTGGCCCTCTAGTGCTCTGGACACATTTATATAATGCAATATCAGAGAATTGCGCTCGCTAGCAAGCTATTGCCAAGAACTCCCCTCGACTCCCTCCCTCCTTTCCAGACCGACTTTCTGCTCGGTAAAGGTTAGCTTTTCTATACAATGCCTCTCTCTCTTTCCTGACAGCTTTATTTTGCCATGCTTAACACTCCACCGCTCCCCGTGAGATTGTGTGTGTATGCACACACATATGCACATGAGTCCGCAGCAGGTTTGGGGGTCATGGCTGAGCTTAACCCCTGTTCTCTTCTGATGGTATACCTTAAAGGACTATAGCTTGGGGCTGGGGTGCATATTGTGCTCCAGGAGGTCTCAGGTACAAACTCTGACATCTCAACTGAAAGATTAGCACTTAAAGGGAAGACTTCTACCTGAGACTGTGGAAAGTTGCTTGCACTCAAGGTGGACCAACCTTCTCCACTCTGGTACCTTCCAAGGCTTGATGGTCTATAATATCAATCAGAATCCTGGCCCTCAGAACCTTCATCAAGCCACACCCTTTCTTGGCCCTGCCTGTTAACCCTGTATTGTTACAAAAGTCGGGTGCCTCCCCCTCTCTCTGCCAAGCAGTGTCAAGAACCCATGGGGTCTGTGGTCCTTTGGGGAATTGAGACGACGGTGGAGACTATTGTAGCTTTAAGAAATATGGTTTATTCACCTATTTACACCATCAGTCTGCATGGAGGGAGTCCAGAGCTTACAGCACGGTCATTGCAAGAGGGGCTTCTAACCCTCAGCAGTGCAGCCCTGGCGTCTGAGGCATCTCTCCCAGCCAGCCTTCAGCCAACCTGCCCAAGATGGATCCCAGTCCTCCTTCTTCCTTCTTTTTCTCTGCTTAAACACTCTCTTTACCTGTCACCTCACACCCAGTTAGTCTGGCAACCTTCCAAACCCCTGTCTCTGTTCACACCTCAGGGCGGGGGGGGGGGGGGAGGACAGTTCCCTTGTATTGTCAATGACTTTCAATGGGCCTCTATTGTTTCTTAATGGCCCTCCATTGTTTCAGTGGCCCTCTATTGTTTCTTAATGGCCCTAGCTTGGCCAGGTCATTCTGCATAGGCTAGCTCAGGCAGGGCCGTCTTAATAATATCCAGTGCCGTGGTGCAACCTACCTCTGCCCCCCCACCCCCGTTTCCCACAGGTTTTTAGGGAGGATGGCACTGCCGGAGGGGCTGGAGGAGGCGGGCAGTGGCTGGAGGGCAGTGCTTCCAGCAGGGAAGAGGCGGAGGCTGGACGTGGTGCCTCCCAGCTCAGCTGGCTTCTTCGTGCCGTGGTGGCCACGGCAGATGGAGGCTCCGGGCGCGCGCTGCTTCAGTGCAGCATGGCGGAGGCGGGTGAGGGTGGTGAGCTGATGCTGGGAGGTACCGCATCCAGCCTCCGCCTCTTCCCTGGCGCCCTCCAGAACGTGGCGCCCTGGCTCCCCACATCACTAGCCTCTATGGGTAAGAAGCCCCTGAGCTCAGGAATTCCTCTGCAGCTTGCATTTCTCCTTTCACATCCCAAATAATCAAAATCCTACCATTTATTAATTTCTAGGGGTTTTTTGGGGGGGTCCCTCTCCCATATCTTTAACAGTATTTTGCTGGGCTGGAATGCATCATTGAACTCTAACATTGTCTCTTCCTTGCCCACATGGAGGATAGACAAGGGTGTCCTGAAATTAGCTTATTGCACAAAGGCAAACATTTCCATTTGTGATTTTGCTCACTTTTGCCTCCGGCCCCACCTACCACTGGCATGTGGCCCTCGGAAAGGTTTCCAAGAAATGAATGTGTGCCTAGGGGTGAAAACAGGTTCCCACCCCCTGTTCTAGGCTGTTGGTTGAAGCTCCTGCCATGGTTCTGAGACTTGGCATCATTGGCACAGGATGCTGCCTGCCTGCTCCTTTGTGTAGCCGATAGGCAGGGGAAGCATCCATAATGTACACACAAACGACTCTGGGACACAAATTTGTCTCTTGGCTAGATTGCCAAGTGACAGGAGCGCAGGTGCCAGGGCAATATATCAAGGTTCAGTAAGTAGGGCTGTTAATCTTTTCTACAGAACCTATGCAGTTCTGCACAGGAGGAACATAGATCCTGAAATCTGTTGAGAAAGGGAGGGAGAGATCTGGAAGGGCGGGGGAGCTGTGGCAAAGTGCATACTCACCACTCCCAGATTTAATTTTATAAATTATCCTAGTTACATGGGAAATAAGGCTGGCGCTGTGGGTTAAACCACAGAGCCTAGGGCTTGCCAATCAGAAGGTTGACGGTTCAAATCCCCGCGACGGGGTGAGCTCCCGTTGCTCGGTCCCTGCTCCTGCCAACCTAGCAGTTCGAAAGCATGTTAAAGTGCAAGTAGATAAATAGGTACCGCTCCAGCAAGAAGGTAAATGGTGTTTCCGTGCACTGCTCTGGTTCACCAGAAGTGGCTTAGTCATGCTGGCCACATGACCCGGAAGCTGTACGCCGGCTCCCTCGGCCAATAAAGCGAGATGAGCGCCACAACCCCAGAATCGTCTGTGACTGGACCTAATAGTCAGGGGTCCCTTTACCTTTACCTTTTACTCCAATGAAAAGGCATTGGCTTTTATGAGTTGTGGCTGAAACAAATCACTGTGGTCTATCTCCTCCTACTGACATTATTCGTGTTCAGGGTTCCACTCTGCCACCCAACACCCCAGATGGACTATTTTTCTTTTCCAACTGTTGCTGTACATTTCCTGACTTCTGAGCATGATCAGTCCCCTTTGACTTTTTTGGGGGGTGGGGGGTGGGTTAAGGTTCCACCTTATGGTTGTTGCTTTTTAAAAAATGTACTCCTAACCTTGGGGCAACTTTAAGTGTGCTCCTGATCATTTCTACTTGATCCTTGATGACTCATTTGGCTCAAGGACAGTCTACATGCACGCTCTGATTTTGCGGTTAGTGGGAGTGATTACTCAGTGATGAGTAATGCACTCTGCATAGGCTCATGGTCACTCTCCTCACAAATGCTGCTGTTACTGCAGATTTTCCATAAGGATATTATCCTAAGTCCTTAGTTTATCATAAATTTTAACTTGGCATATGTCTGAAGTTACACAGTTTTGGTGCTTTGATTTTCCTACCAAAGCAAGTATATTCTAGTCAATGAAATGGTGCCTGGGTTGTACCATTTCAGACTACAAATGGGGTTCAGATGACCTAACACTTCTTCATACTCTCCCCCCCCTCTCTTTTATCCCCGTAGGGAAGATACCAAAGGGACATTATGCCTTTAGGGGCAACACTTCGGGGTGGAACCAGGGCATGGGCCAGCCCTTGTGCTAAAATTATGGTGTTAATAGAGATTGGGTTTTAGCTTGGGTGGGTGTTGTTTATTTGGGGTGGGGTGGGGTTGGGTTGTTTTAAATTGTTATTAAGTGTTAATTTGTATTTTGTGTTTGTATTTTTTAGTTTTATAAGGCTGATTAATGTTCTACCACCTTTAAAATGTGCTTGAGGGAGGGGGGTTATTGGTTTTTGTTGTTATTGTTTTAGCTATTTATTTCATAGAATCATAGAATCATAGAATCATAGAGTTGGAAGAGACCACAAGGGCCATCGAGTCCAACCCCCTGCCAAGCAGGAAACACCATCAGAGCACCCTGACATATGGTTGTCAAGCCTCTGCTTAAAGACCTCCAAAGAAGGAGACTCCACCACACTCCTTGGCAGCAAATTCCACTGTCAAACAGCTCTTACTGTCAGGAAGTTCTTCCTAATGTTTAGGTGGAATCTTCTTCTTGTAGTTTGATCCATTGCTCCTGTGTCCGCTTCTCGGATGAAGGGCGGTATAATAATAATAATAATAATAATAATAATAATAATAGAAGAGATTGGGGAATCTGTCAGTTTCAGTTTCTTTCAATTTGTTATTTTTGTTGTTGTTGTTCATTTCTACATCAGCTTGTGATTTTTCTTAAGGCCTCATGAAAGGTTATCAGCATTTTAGTGCGAATTTCTTCTAACACACACGTTTTATATGCTATTTTGCCCAATACAGTGGTGCCCCGCAAGACGAATGCCTCGCAAGACGGAAAAACCGCTAGACGAAAGGGTTTTCCGTTTTGGAGTTGCTTCGCAGGACGAATTCCCCTATGGGCTTGCTTCGCAAGACGAAAATGTCTTGCGAGTCTTGAGATTTTTTTTTCACTTTTCCCCCCCTTTATCTAAGCTGCTAAGCCTTTAATAGCCTTTTAGCAGCTAATCCGCTAAGCCTTTAAGCCTTTAATAGCCGCTAAACCGCTAATAGCGCTAATCCGTTAAGCCGCTAATAGGGTTGCTTCGCAAGACGAAAAAACCGCTAGACGAAGACACTCGCGGAACGGATTAATTTCGTCTTGCGAGGCACCACTGTATATTGATTGTTGCAAAACAATTCTGTGTGTGTGTGTGTGTGTTTGTGTGTGTGTGTGTGTACATTTTCCAGCTTATATGTACATTTTAATGCATGCATTATCCTTGTATATGCATTTGTGTACACATTAAAGGTAAAGGGACCCCGACCGTTAAGTCCAGTCGCAGACGACTCTGGAGTTGCAGCCCTCATCTCACTTTACTGGCCAAGGGAGCCAGCGTTTGTCTGCCGACAGCTTCCGGGTCATGTGGCCAGCATGACTAAGTCGCTTCTGCCGAAACCAGAGCAGCGCACGGAAATGCCATTTACCTTCCCACCGGAGTGGTACCTTTTTATCTACTTGCACTTGACGTGCTTTCGAACTGCTAGGTTGGCTCGAGCTGGGACTGAGCAACGGGAGCTCAACCCGTCACAGGGATTCGAACCGCTGACCTTCCGATCGGCAAGTCCTAGGCTCTGTGGTTTAGACCATAGTGCCACCCGCGTCCCTTGTGTACACATTACTTGGCTGGATAAATGATACTGCAAAATTCAGAGGAGTGCACATTCCAAAGGATTACTTTGTTCCAGTTCCCATATTGTTTCAGAAATTGTGAATGAGGTAGGATCTCATTTAAATGCAAAGTGGGTTGGATTTGTCCCTCCTCATCCCTTCCTGCCACTGAGCTGTGGCCCTTTCCCAAAGAGGAGAAGTCAATGACTCAGGCGCCAGTCATCTGGCCCCTTCACTCTGGTTGCCAATGACTATGATGCTACTGTACTCCAAAGCTTCCCTTCCTCCCTGTTAATGGATGCTGCTCACATAAAGAGAAAGAGCAGAGGCAGTGGAGGTTTCACCTTGCTGTGGAAATTTCCAAACTGTAGTTGGGATGCAGTTGAGTGTCTGGATGTGGGCAGATTTCCATGGAAAGTAGCAGTGTACAAGCAACTTGGAGGAAGGAACGGAGGAAGGGGTGGCTGAAAGGCGATGATATTGATCAATGTCTAGTATACACTGGGAGAAGAATTAATAGTGCAGGGAAGGGAGGCTTGCTGACAAGCAGACATGGAAATCTACAGCTCCAATTTCACCCTGCCGGATTCTTTCCATGTTGCAGTTTGCATCCCATCTGAGTTGTGGCTTTCATTATAGAGGGAACCTACTCCTACCACCCACCTTTAAAAAACAAAACATGTGCAATGTTTCAGATGTTATGTGGCTCCATTTGATCATGATAATGAGAGGGCCTGCAGAAAGTCAAAACTGTTCACATCACTGCAGCAGTCAAGTGGGGATTTGTGCAGGCTGGAGTGTGGTCTCAGCACGATAGGGAGATGGGGGAAGAGATCATAGTGGCACAACACACAAGATATCTGCAAGAGAAGAAGAGAGATACGGTGCGGTGGCAGCGGGAGGCCCCATTAGCTAAAGTAGTATCTCAGGTTAAGAACAGTTTCAGGTTAAGAACGGACCTCCAGAATGAATTAAGTTCTTAACGCAAGGTACCACTGTATTCTAATTGTGTTCTGCTGATCATGCTTAGAAGCTTCCCTGTGATCAGGTTCCTAAGGGTGCCCAGTGGAAAGCTGCTGGAATCTGCCTCCATTTGTTTGCAGTGCATTCAACTTTCGAAAGTAAGAAGTAGACCAGGCAAAGTTGGAGATGTTGCGTGTCAAGGTCCCCAAGCCACCCCCAAAATAAATTCACAATTCACACATAATTTTGTTTAAGGTTTTTGGCATACTTTTGGCCAAAACTTTATTAAAATACATAATCTGTGAATGGTTGCTTAGGCATTGGTTAAGACTATCTGTCCCCCCGCCTGGGACAGAACTGACTTTCTGAACTCCCTCGGAAGCAAGTGAAGGGAAAGCAATATTGGGGATCAGTTGAGCTGAGTGACAGTCCCTCACCGCTCACCCAACTTGCCGACCCTGGTCCCATTTCAGGGATTGGACGAATTCCCTTCCACACCACGATTGGAGGGGCAGGCCCAGCCTATCCTTACCCCTCCTCCACCAATTTTTTATAACCAATGCCTAATCACAACCTTACAAGTTGTGACAAATTGCTAAGTAGTAGGTAAAAACCAAATGGCACCAGCCAATCAGCCAAATGGACAAAATTCCTACTAGGCCCCTGCTCCAAAGCAGACGACCCCATGACAGGCATAGCAAGGTCAACCGGAACTCAGGGCGGGCGATCCGATGCACTCAGCGAAAGAGAAAGCAAAAGCTGAGTGCCCCAATATTTAAAGCCTCTGGTTCCACCCACCACATTGCAACATGCAATTTGCCCCAGCAACCTGGTCATCCAATCGTTGCTCCAGACCAGCTCACTTTTACCTGCCTGGCAACAGAGGGTTGGCTTGGCAGACCCCACCGCAATACGTGCTCTCATTTCAGGGAGAACACGCTTTGCAGAGGAAGAGACTGCTGGCATGTACTGCCCACTCTAAGGTCACATAGGTGCACCCAACTGGATAAATAGTCTAAAGGCATCTCAGCTTCCAAGAAATATGGAAGGTACTGGGTTGGTGGGGGGGGCTGAAAGGGGGCAAGTAGACAGAATGGATCTGCTCAAGCACTCCTTCCACAACTTACAGTAAGCATCCTGGAGGAGAGATGGTGCAGCTTGCATTCAAGTCTGCAATTTTAACATGCAATCCTGACACGCAGTTCTTTTGATTGTTCTTTTGATGTTGAGACCCAGATGCTCTCCAGAGTTTGGCACCCCAAGAGTTAACACAGACAATAGAGATTCATTGGAAGTGAACTTCATTATATCAAAAGGGAAACATCTTATTAGAGTATCTACTAAAATATTGAACTAAATCAATGAGCAGCACACCTATACTTGGCTATGCTTAGAATAGTTTCTAATGTTGGAGTCATTCTTAAAGCACAAATTAGGTAGGTTCACTTTTAAATGCTAAATGAATAAAATATCTCCCTTATCCTTGCTCTGAGCACAGCATATCCAGGTGATACAATCTCACTTCTGCCTGCAAATTCCTTCTCATCTGCCTCCCTGCACTAATTGCCATCAATAATGAAATACAGGCCTGCCCTTCATATGGGGCAGAAATTCTTAAATTAAACATTTTTGAATCATTATAGCAGATTTTCTGTGTTTGGCTAAACACTGAGCCAGGGCTGATTATGATGGAATGCAGTAACAGTAAATTACATATCGATTCCACAAATATTAGTGGACACAAAGTTTCCCAGCAACTGGGAGAAAATATTTTGCTTTTTTAAAAAATGCACAGGATTTCCCCCCCCTTCTCTCTTGCCCTCCTTTCTCCTCTTCCTATCCTGTCTTTCTTCTGTCACATTTTACATAGCGCTGGCATCACCAAGCTAATGAACAAGACAGGAGATTTTTTCCAAGCCATCTGGATTATGTCAGACATCAACAATACAATGATGGCAAGCTTGTAAAATGTCTCTTTTTAGACTGAGTCCAGATGGCAGCTTCCTGAATGTCTGATTTGGGTACCAGAGAACACAACTTGGAATGCATTTATTTCTTTAGTTATTCTTTTTTTTAAAAGATTTTTAAAAAACCCCACCTTTCCATTTCCCTGGATCTTCTAGGTTGCTTACAACCCAGAATAACAAAGGAAATGAACTTAAATAAAAAGCAAGCAGTCTGAAAATATGTGTCCAGTGGAGAAAATGAGTGACAGACACAACCGGAGTGCCGGAGCAGGAACATCTCTGATGTCAACCTGCGTACATAGGCTGATGTGTTTGGATTCCTGGGGAAGGAGGTAGAGGGTGCCTGGAGGATATATATACTGCATGAAACTTCTCATTTCTTTGGACTTGCTGTGGACTCACCACGCAAGTGCCTTCTGCTATCCGGAGAGCAGAATAAACCCATTCTTTGAACCAACCTCGGTGTCGTTTGACTTCCTTCCTCCTGTCCCGGAGCAACGCAGACCCAATCAGTGAACTCCAATAAGGCTACATTAGTGATACGGCATATGCTTTGGAAGCAAAAGATTCCAGATTCAGTCTCTAACATCTCCAGGTAAAAGAAGTCTTCTGCTTGACACCCTGGAGAGCTGGTGCCATGCAGTGTCAACAGAACTAAGCTAGATGGACCAATGATCCAACTCATTATGATGTAGATTCCTATGTCCCAATGTTCCAGTCCTCCTCCAGACATTTTAGGAAGAATCCGAGACATATCCCAACCAAACATTTTTACTCGAAGAAGCCAATTTAACTGCAAAAGCACCTTATCATTGTCCCTTAGCTTTCCTTGGAAAATGCCAGCAGCTACAACGGCTGCCCTTTTCTAAGCCCAACTTTGTTATTTTTAGCCATTTCCTGGAAGGACCCAGTAGATCGTCAAGAGTCCTGATAATGAGGTACATTGCATCAGGTGATTCACCAATTCTCAAATACAGCTGCAAAGGTCAGATCAATTAAAAGTGTGTTATGGATGCTCTGAAGAGTGGATATTTTAGGGAATGTGGTTTAGGGTTGCCCAATGATCAGAGGGAGAGAAGGGAAATAAAGAAGCCTTAACCAGTCTTGAGTCTGGTCTGCTCCTGTGCTTTGAACAACAGCTTTGTCAGCAGAGATCAGGAGTTTTGTACAGTGGTACCTCGGGTTAAGTACTTAATTCGTTCCGGAGGTCTGTTCTTAACCTGAAACTGTTCTTAACCTGAAGCACCACTTTAGCTAATGGGGCCTCCCGCTACCGCCATGCCGCAGGAGCACGATTTCTGTTCTCATCCTGAAGCAAAGTTCTTAACCCGAGGTAATATTTCTGGGTTAGCAGGGTCTGTAACCTGAAGCATCTGTAACCCAAGGTACCACTGTATAGTGTGGAAAGGAACAATGAGTGACGACAGAGTGTTTATAGGAACACAGGGACCTTCCATATAGCAAATTGGACCACTGGTCCATTTCACTGGTGGAGGAATGGGGGAGCGGTGGGAGCGCACCGCCCCTGGCATCATTGGGGAGGGGGGTACCATTGCGCCCGCCCCTGACACGGGCTGCAGACCCCCAACTGTGCCAGGCGCCACGCCCCCGTGGGCAGTGTGACACACCCCTGTGACGCAGGCCACACACCCCGGACGTGCGCCATGCCTCCATGGGTGGCGTGCCACGCCCCCTGGGATGCGTGCCAGCCACACCCCCACCTGCTCTCCTCTCCCAGTGCTGGAGCATGCAGCTCCGCCACCGGTCCATTTAGACCAGTATTGTTAACACAGGCTGGCTGTGACTATTCAAGGTTTCAGGTAAGGGTCTTTCCCAGTCCTACCTGGAGATATAAGGGATTAAACTTAGAAGTTTGGATGCAAAGCAGGTGCTCCACTAAGAGTCTTAGGAGAGTTGAGCAAAAATGAGACACATAGTTTAGATCTAATTTTCATATCCACCCCGCCCCCCAGCTATGTATTCACAGAGAAACCTCCACAACTTCCCCACCACTTAGTTGGTCTGAAGGGATGCTGTATTATAGAACTAACAACAACAATAATATTGTCTGTTCTATAATTGCAGAACTCTGTCACCTCATTCTGTTGCATGTGTATGGACCAAGCTATAATGCTAGACTAGATGGATTGTGGTCTAATTCTGGGGAAGCCAAAGTGATGTCCTCTAGATGTTGTTGGATTATAGTTCCCCTCAGTCCTAGTCAGCATGGCCAATGGTGAGGGGTGGTGGAAGTCTAACAACGTCTCATGTGGATAAATTGTGTCCTCCCTAAAAGAGGGCGCGTGTTGTGGTGAGACCTGGAGACTGACCTCCTGTGTTGTGGGTGGGTTTGATTGGTTAGCCACAACACCCAATTGGTAGGTCCCTCGATGTTGGGTTCAATCTGGCCAATGGGGAGCAGTCTAAACTGTTTGAGGGACCTATATATACCTATGCACGTGACCCAGAGCTTTCTCTTTCGGCTCGTGCATTCGAAACACCTGCCCACCTCTCCCTAATTTTAGGGCACTGTGCGACCGACCTTGCTATGCCATCGTGTGTCGTCTGTCATTGGGACAGGGGCACGACAGGAATTTCCCCACTTGGCTGATTGGCTGTTGTCATTTGGGTTTCGCCTGCCGTGTAGCAAATCGTCACAACTTGTAAGGTTGTGGATAGGCACTGGTTCAGGTGATAGGGGTGGGAGAGTGGTCTTGCCATCCCTATGTGAAGGGTATTCCGTTAAAGGAATCCAGGGACTCGACTGGTTTGTTCAACCCCCGAGAGGGGGTTGTGCCCGTGCCTGAGTCCAGGGGGGCATCTGGGTGGTGAACATAGTTTGTCCCCGGCTTTTCGCCTTCCCAGGCCTATGCTGGTGCCCTGGGTCAACGCTGCCTGCAACGGTGCAGTGAGCTATTCGAACCAGAGCCTATGCAACCACTCACCTTCCGTAGTCAATAAAGTTGTGGCCTAAATTCTGCCAAAAACTAAAATTTGAGTCAAGTGTGAATTTATTTAGGGGGGAGGTCTCTGGGTCTGAACACACAACATTGTCTAACCACGATCTAATTCCAGAAATAAATTCATTGGCATTTTTCAGCTATCTTTTCCTCTTGTAAACCTTCAGATGTTTTTGGACTACAGCTCCCATCATTCCCAGCTTCAGTGGCTGATTGTATAATGCTGGGAGTTGAAGTCCAACAAAATCTGGAGGGTGTCAAATATGTCTAACCATGATCTTATTCCACAAGGAAATTCATAGTAACCTGAAGTGTCTGTAACCTGAAGCATCTGTAACCTGAGGTACCACTATATACTTTTGTAACTTAAGTCTGCCTTCAGGGATCCAACTGTGAACTGAATGAATGTGAGTAAATAACTTTTATATAGACTTTAATAAGATTGTTGTGTCTATTCTTTTTAAGAGGGACAAGAAGGGATATTACCAGGAATCTTATCTAGAGAGGCTCAGACGAGCCTGCAAGAAGCAAACCTCTGTGGGTTAAAAGGGGAATGTTTAAACTCTGCTAAGATATAGAACTTGTTAATGTAAGTTAGGAAGGATATCATTAAACAAAATATCATATCCTGCCTCCCTGAACATTCTCACAGTGCGCACACTGTGGGGCTTGTGTGAGTGATGTCAGCATACCCTGCAGCATGTGCAAGTGTCATGAGCATACCTCGCACATGCACGCACAGTCAGCACAGAAGTTTGAGGGGGCTGGCTCCTTACTTGAAAATTTTGGGGGACTCATCCCCAAGATGGCTCCCCTGTTCTTGCATGAGCAAGCTAGCCCAGCACCCCTACATAAGCATGCAATGCATGATTGGTGTCTGGCAGAAGTGGGGCCTATGCACAGTCAACCTCACACCTTAAGGCCCCCCTTCAGACTGACACCAGTCACATGTTGAGTGGAGGGAGGCATAATCAACACATGCATTAGTGTCTACAGAGTGTGACTAGTCCATTTGGGCAAGAGAGATCCTAGAATCATAGAATAAGAGAATCATAGAGTTGGAAGAGACCACAAGGGCCATCGAGGCCAACCCCCTGCCAAGCAGGAAACACCATCAGAGCACTCCTGACATATGGTTGACAAGCCTCTGCTTAAAGACCTCCAAAGAAGGAGACTCCACCACACTCCTTGGCAGCAAATTCCACTGTCAAACAGCTCTTACTGTCAGGAAGTTCTTCCTCATGTTTAGGTGGAATCTTCTTTCTTGTAGTTTGGATCCATTGCTCCGTGTCCGCTTCTCTGGAGCAGCAGAAAACAACCTTTCTCCCTCCTCTATGTGACATCCTTTTATATATTTGAACATGGCTATCATATCACCCCTTAACCTCCTCTTCTCCAGGCTAAACATGCCCAGCTCCCTTAGCCGTTCCTCATAAGGCATCGTTTCCAGGCCTTTGACCATTTTGGTTGCCCTCCTCTGGACACGTTCCAGTTTGTCAGTGTCCTTCTTGAACTGTGGTGCCCAGAACTGGACACAGTACTCCAGGTGAGGTCTGACCAGAGCAGAATACAGTGGCACTATTACTTCCCTTGATCTAGATGCTATACTCCTATTGATGCAGCCCAGAATTGCATTGGCTTTTTTAGCTGCCGCGTCACACTGTTGGCTCCTGAACAGGGCTACTACAGAACTATTTATAAAGCAAGAAACCATGATAAAAGACAGCCTTTTAGAAAGGCAACAGGAATTGGCAGAACAAAACCATGCAAAAACTAATCCTGAAATAAAAGGAAACTAAAATATGAATGAATGAGCAGAAGCAAACAAGATTCAGTCATTAGGAGTCAGCTCACCATAGATGTACACAGGCACAGGGACATCCAATTCTTCTGGGCTGTTGCTCAATCTACACTTCACCAGTTCTGAGATAATTACTCTTTGAGTGTATTTTGCCTCTATTTATCATTCTGCAGCTCTCGCCAGACTACGATCTTGATCTTCTTTCACCTCCTAACAAGTCTTTGTGCTAAAATAGGCTGACAGGGAGAGAAAGAGAGCAAATACTAGAGGTCACTTGCATTTAGCTGGGAGGAACGAAGGGAGTTGCCTTTTGGTTGGTTCTCTAAGATACAGTCACACAAATAGGTGTGAGGCGCAGGAGCTGATAGGTGTAAAGGCTGCTGATGTCACTAAAGACCTGAAGCCTGCATTTGGTTACAAAAGCTTCCCCTCCATAGTTCCTATGAAGATATATTTCTGTCATGTTCAGAGATATGAACTAGAAAATCCCCCAGGAGATTTGTTTTCCCTTCATCAGAGCTTCCAAGTGGTGCCTTTTCCAGAAAAGTCATTCAGGAAGGGAAGGAAGAGGGACAAATAGAAGGACCCTCACTTATAAGTCCTCGTTTTACCACCTGAAACAGCACTGAAGAACATGTAACAGATAGTTTGTGTATTGTTTTCTTGCATAAGCTCCCTTCTTTCTTTGTCTTTCTTTGGCAAGTAGCTCTGTGAAATGTGCACCACTTGCACAGCCTTAAATCCACCCCTGCCCATTCAGACTTCCGGTTAGCCATGAGGACAGAAGGAAGCCGGAGCTGCTATTGCAGCAACCCGGCTGCTGCTTTTCTGGAGTAGCTTGAAGGCAACGAGCACCCATGAGAAGGTCC